ATCTCGGATTAACGAATTTTGTCCCACTCGGTATAGTATCCGAGGAAACACGCAGTAATCGATAATATTTTTTGTTTGTTAAAATTTAATTAAAATCCACGTATTTAAAAATCGTAATTTTATATCCAACCGTATAAAACTGGCTTTTTTGTCGGCGAAATGGGACTACATCATACATGCGTATAAATAATTATGTATAGAACTATGAAAGGGTCTGATGGGACACGAGAAAAATTATTACGGACCGATTATTGTATCAATTGTATCAGTATTTAAAAAAAAGGACATAATTATATTTTTTATCTAAAATAATAACATTCAAATACGGAGTTTTTCCGCGTTTGTCTGTTCGTCGAGAAAATACTTCTAAAATGTTTTAATATTTTTTATAGGTAATTGTTTTATGTTTTGTTTGTCTCTCCTCATCGCTATAAATTAATTTGGACAATTGTTAATTGTAATAACTACTCGTGTGTCACCAATTAAATAAACTTGGTTACACACACAATTTTATTACAACGAATTAAAACGTTTTAGCTTCAATTAGCATTTAATAATGGTAATAAATATACAGTTAAAATATCACAATTTGTAATATGTGTATATTTCAACTGAAATTTTATTAAATAAATAAAAATAATAATCGGTTTTTAAAAATGCATTAGAATTAACTAATTAACGATGAACATTTCAAATTAATAATAATCTAGACAATTAGTTTGATAAAGGTAACAAATACTTATACGAGTTACAACATACTTTATAACTTGTACTTGTACGTTCATGTAAGTAAATAACTCCGTCCATCATTGTAAACAAATCATATTGTCTTATACGTGTAATGTGTATAAACGTATTACTTTATCATAATATTATATTCATACATAAAAGGTTTGTATTGTAAATAAATAAATAAGATTACACTTATTGGAGTTCCTTCTATCACAAATAAAATATAATACATTTTGTTTAAAAATCAATGGTATTATTATTAATGTAGGCTTCCTATTTATATTTTAATCATTATTTTTCAACGTTAATATCAATATTGTTTAGTTATACTTATAAGATTGATTTAAGTTTAATAAATCAAAATTATAGCTAATTGGTCAGGTTATTAATCTAAATTACATTTTAATGAACATTAACACTAATTATTCGGTTTATCTGTAGAACAAACCGAATCTGTATAAATCAAATTATTTATTGACAGTATTATTATTATTATTTGTTTGGTTATAAATTATTGAAATGCATACAATATCTTCAATAATTTTTAAAAAAAATCTAATGATACTCGTTATAATGATTAAATAAATATCAATTAAAGATTAAAATTGAATGAAAAGTGAACCTAAGTACAGGCTTACTACTTAAAAAATTAAATAAAAAGTGACATTTGCAAAAAGTAGTTAAAATAATAAACCAACAATCATCAATCAAAAATTGTAATCATTTGGATAACTAAAAACTGCAACTATTCACTTGCATTTATTTTATAGAAACAAAAATAATACTACAAAATTCTAATTTATAAAGAGGTCAGATTAAACTATGAGAAACTCGGGACAAAAAATTCCAAATTTACCTAATCATTGTAGGTATCATGGTTTACCTTTATGTCTATCGAAGCGAATTGATGTTGAACACTAATACAATAATAATACATAAATATTTAATGCATTATAACTTTATAAAACTCATTAAAATACATAAGTACACATAGTCAATTTCGAATTGTTGTTTATTCTCTTTATATAGTTATTTAATGAAAAACTATATCTACTTTTAATTTTCAAACGAAATTAATGTTCTGTATATTTGAATATGGAAATCATTATAGCTTATAGTTTTCCAACAATAATTTCAAAATCTTAAAAATTTAAAAGTAAAAACCCATTTGAAATTAATACAAACATACTGACTAACTATTGACTACAACTAGTACAAAATTAAAAACGCAACGTAAAGGAATGTATAGCCAGAAATCAGAATAGTATCGTGGTTGGTATGCAATGAACGTCTTCAATTCTTTTATTTATGAAACTTGTTCTAAAAAAAAAAAAAGGTTTATGAAGATTGTGGAAACGTCAATTGCGATTGGCTAATACGTTCCATGATAAAAAAAAAAAAAAACTGTAATACTAACAAATTGTACTAGTTAATATTACAAACTAGGTACCTATATGTATTTTTACCATCTTTATCGCGTGAACGAGGGTAAACCATAAACCCGTACCTGTATAGGAGAGAAGGTATTTTATTCAAAAACCATTTGATGTGTCTCCCTCTCCGACCTTTGCGAGCATACCCTCCCGGAAATCGATGCGAATGACTCTCCTTCAATAACACTGTTCGAGAAACTACGATGATATTATACGGTTTTCCTAAATTATACAACCGATCAATTTCATTCTGAGAATTATATATAAATAATATATAGGTAATATACGTGATACGCCTACCCCACATCGATTTGGTATAATATATCATGACAAAATCTATTTTGTCATGTAATGTATATACGACACACGCGAGTGTAGGTACTGGGCTAAGGTATACACGTATATTTATGATCATCATATTACCCGCAAAAGAGGAATCGGCGACGTCAAACTTGTAACGCAGTCCCAAGATACGTACTTTGATACCTTCCTGCGATTTGTTGTAGGTGATGATAACTTTCGTAGAATATATTATATATATATATATGTACATCAAATACCTGTACAGTGTACAATCGTCAATTCCAAAGTCATAATCAACCATCACGCCACATCCGCTGTTTAACTCACATTCACTGTCACTGTCACTGTAATACAAACATTATATTATATATATGTATATCAAATCAATACCTTATTCAGCTGGCCAGATAAACCTCGTAAGTAGATTTTAGGAAATCGTATAAAAGAAGCGAAAAACTGTGGTAAACTTAAAATTTTACCAAAAAAAGGCCATAGTCAAAATGTCGCCTTACGAAGTTTTTCTAGATAGCCGACCATATAAAAGCATCGGCTCGCGGCTGTCTAATACGTGAACATTTTTAATTTTGAGTTTTGGCGTAGTTACCGAACTACCAAATTATTGAATAGAATTTAAAAAAATGATGAATATAGATCACGGAATAATAAATATTATTTTACTACAACCAGTATGGCCGATGGTTCTCCCTGTGGGAGAAGATCAGAATACTTCCACGATACCTGTCGTAAGAAGTGATAAACCAGGTTACGTCAGATCGACAGCAGGTGTAAAATTCTGTCAAACAGTATGAGGAGTTCTATACAAGACTATGGCGAATATTGTCCCCATCTCGAATGTGTTCGGGTTCAATAGGTGTGAGGGGATATCACGGTAAAAAATTATCATTTTAAAACTCTTATAAAAACTATAATATATATATACTACATTACACTAAATTTTTTTTTCCGGCCACCAATTACGATTTATAATGAACCTCCTGTCAAATTTTGAAACATTTTTGTTTATTCTAACAATTTTATCCACAGAGTACCTATATTTAATACAAATTACGTAAAATTTAAAACCTCTATAAATAGCTCGAAAATGGCTCAAATGTTTTGAAAATTTTATCACGTCTAGAAAAAAGAAAAAAACCGGAATATCGGTACAATATTAAACAAATATTATTAAAGAAAATATATAATGCTTATTTAATTATTTTACCACATATATTATCTATTGTTGACAAGGCATCACTATCAACTGGACTCCGCTCAGAATCGTTTTTTCGTTAGCAATGGCTAATCGGTTACATTCAAAAACCGCACACTTAATTGGTTGACAAGTAGGTACATTGGATAGCCAATACCGCACACTTATAGTAGCATAAAACTGTAAACTAATTATAAAATATAATTTTATACAGTAATTATACAGTAATAGTATACAATAATTATATAATATATTGTTATATGAACATATTGTCTATCCAATTGAAAAACAAAAACAAGTTAGTTAATGGGCACATTTTAATATTAGAAATACACCATTTTTTTTTATTATACTTTGTTTAAATGTTGGGAAGAATTTTCGAAGGACGGAGATCGTTTAAAATGTCTAAAAAAAACATTAGCTATCGATTCCTACCAATAATTATTTAAACATTTTTTTAAAAAATATTTTTAAACTAATATTTTTAATTCTTTAAAAAAAATTGCGGCTTTTGCTAATTTTGACCATTTTTTTATTTGATTTTATTTCTATTATATTTTATATTAATATTTAACAACACTAATGAAGATACAATTATAATACTTGATATTTTATTTTATATATTTTTAGATTAATTATTAATAAATGATAGATTATACATTATTATAAAATGTATGGGTTTTGGATATGAAAATTGAAAAAAGTATGTGGTTTTGCCCTATATTTTATCGCTAGTGTGCAACTTTTTATCAAATCATACCTACATTTCGTATATTTTCCCGTATTTTTAATATGTTGGAAAATCGAAAAATGAGTTCTTTAAAGAACCTCCCCAGTCATTTTTTTTTAGAAACAATGCTTTCATTGTAAATCGGATCAAAATTGCTGGTAGAAAAATTGTTTACAGAAAATAAAGACCGTAATATTTGATTAGTATATTTCGTACATTTTCCCGTTTTTCTCTGTTTTTTCCTGGTTTTTCTAACTTGACCTCCCCAGTCAGATTTCCTTTTATCAAAATAAACATCTTTGTAAAACTATAAGCTTCTTTATTCCACTCAAAATCTAAAAAACAGACATCATTATAATAAAATCAATAAACCTTCGCTACGTTCCGAATCTACAACAAAATGGCTATAAAATTCATGTTGTGCGAGTAGGTTTGGTCGTTAGATAATAATATTTTCTGAATAATGACTATACATTAATTTGTGGTGTAATTGGAAATTATTATATTGTTAAACAATTATAAGCATATTTATTATAAAACAATTAATTTTCACATGATTCAAAATAATTATATTCTTCTTCATTTTAATTTTAATGAACTTTGCCAGCCTCAGTCATGACTTGTGTTTTCGTCAAAATCGTATTCTGCGTAGTCGCTTTAACATTATAATTGGTCCGAAAATTCGTCACTTTCTAGAGCGAATTGTAATTACGAGGCCGCAAATACGTGACTTTACAACGCGATACACAGGACGATCTACCAAAGATCGGATACAAACATTGAAACAATTAAATATTATAATAGGTACATTGCGTCCCAACGCAATTACAGGATCATCAATAACATCATTAAAATGACGTTAATATTTCGAAGTTTAACTTTGTTCGTCAGTTTTAATTGCATGTTATTCATAACTGGGGTAAGTACCTATTATGTTTTTTACATTTTACTCAGAAATAATTAAAAATAGTGGCACAGGAACTATATTTGATGTGGGGTATCCAAATATGTAGATGGTATAATTTTCCATAGTTACACTATATTTCCCGGAACCCATTTTCCTCTCCGCGGTATGTAGGAGATGTGCTCACTTCCTCTATGTGGTTTTTTTCTACACTCCCAGCAGTGCTCAAAATGGAAAACGAATTGAATCGTAAAACATCATTAAAAAAAAATACTTATAGCATAAATATAGTATATTTAATGTTTATTGTTTATATTATTTGTTGATAGAAATCACAAGCTTTTTTTCTTTATGAAAATTTGAACAGAAATTTCATTGTCGTTTATTTCAAATGTGACTTAAATTAATACTAACAAAACATAATTTAAAAGTATAAAAACAAAATTTAATTCAATTTCTGTATATATTTGTATAGTTTTTTCAGTGGCAACTTCTAAAGTCCGTTAAAAAATATCTTAGACAATCTGAGTTCGGGCCTAATTTACACAGATTAGAGAGAGAGAGAAAGAGAGAGAGAGAGAGAGAGAAATATTATTTCCCGTTTTCATACACCTATCTGTCCACTCATATTACTTAATAAGCAATAAGAAAATCATTGGCTGTTTTTTATTCATCTGTCCGTTCGCTTAAAACAGTGGTTCCCAACCTTTTTGAAACTATGGACCAGTCAGAGAACTTTCGACACGTCTCGAACCACCTCAATTTCAGACCTAATTTTTTTATAAACAAAAATCAATTATTTTAACATATTTTAGAATTTAGATTATGAATAAATAAAATCAATGAAATTCTTAATAGGTTCTTTCTTATGATAATGTTTAAAATTAATCAATTTTAAGAAAAGTCTAAAATTATCAACAATTTAACACTAATTACTATTATAAAAACAATTTAATGCGATTTTTGGGCTTAAATTTCCTTCAATTACAAAAATATTCTTGGGGGAATACTGCTCAAAGCTACACGCATGTCTTTAGTGGTGTTCAACCGGTTTATTTGTTTATTTTTAATATAGAGTAATCCGAAAAATTTGTTGAAAACATCACTAAACATCTTAATGAGATTTCCCAATGCTTAGGATACATAATTGCTTTTTACACCAAAGCTCTTCGATATGTATGTAAGATTCAAACCTATCCTTACAGTTTCGATCGTTTTGTAATCCTATCAAATCTTCCTGGTTATTATCAGGTACCTCATCAACGTTAACAATAAAAGAGTTTCAAATCATACTTCGGATACCTATCATTTCGAAACCATTAAACCTTTAAGTTTAAAGTTTTAAAGTTTACTAAACATAACTGTCGGTATTTGTTTCACGTCCCAATGGAAAAATGAAATATTTTTAAATATCTAGATATTGCTCGTGGACCACAATAATGTTTTGAGAAACACCAGTGGTCCATGGACTATTGGTTGGGAACCTTTGGTTTGAAATAATGTTTTGGCCGCTAATTTTAGGCCCCTAATTTTAGGCCCATAAATGCAATGGGCCTGTGGTTTATTGTCTGTCATGTCACACTATTGCTACGTCACTACACTAAGTGTTAACTTTTATACATTATAACTCAGCAAATTACACTAATTTGTGTAGTGATAATTTCACAGAAATAAAATCAATTGCAACTGGCTTTTTGAAACCATAAAATCATAATATAAAAAATTACATTATGATATTATTATATTAATATTATTTTTATATATAAAACCATAATATCAGTTATGTTGTAAAATAATGAAATAGTATTTATTTTAAATTCAAATAATATTAAATATTTGTTTTTGTTATTCATAAAGTTTACGTAGACTACACATAACTCGCTTAATTTTGATTTTAGAGTTAAAACATCTTTTATAAAATCAAAAGAGAACAATATTCTGGGAGGTAAAACGTTGCATTTTTAAAAATTTTTTTCCGAATATAACAGTTAATTTATCGTTTATAAATAACGACTTTTTCAACGTATTTTTAATTAGCTAAAACTTTTAAAAAAAATACATTTTCCAAAAAAACGCAACATCTCGTCCTCCAGAATATTGTTTTCTATTCATTTTACAAAAGGTGCTTTTACTCTAAAACCAAAACTAAGCGAGTTCTGTGTAGTCTGCGTAAGCATGTTTTCACTATAACTTGTGTTAGTAAAACAGAAACAACAAATGCATGTGTAACCTGCTCTTATGACGTAGGTATAATTATTATGTTTTATATTACCGGCCAAACCCGATTTCAGGATGAACTAGTTTATCTTTTACACCAAATGTGTTAAGCCTTTAAAACATCGGTAATATGTATAATAAATACGTATGTATACCTACAGAGCGATACAAAATGCATGTTACAGCCATTTTACCGTGTAAATATTATTCAAAATAGAGAAAAATGTATAATACAAAAGTTTTTCGATTTATAAACATCTAAAATAATATGTACATTTTTTTTCTTGATGTCTTTTTTGGGGAGAGGGAAAGGTTTCGGGTTAACTTTTTAGTTTAGGTAGGGATGGAATAGTGGAACACTGTATGCGTTCGTGTGGTAGTACGGCACGGCGCGCGGCGTTTGAATTGTGAATAATTCCACTACTCTCCTCCTACATAAACTAAAAAATGGAAAATCTCGTAATCCTGCCGACGGGATGACGAAAATCAAAAATTTTCAACACTAATATGTATTTGAACTGACATTATATCTATTTACGGAACTTTGAATATAGGTTTTCATTTGAAATTCAAAAGTTGACCTCAAAAAAAAGTAAAAAAAAGTAAAAAAAAAAACAAACTAAACTACAAATCTACAAATTATTTTAGATACCTATTTGTAATTTTAAAATCTTTTGTATTGTATATTTTTTTTTTTTATTGATTTTGAATATTTACATGATAAAATAGCCGTAACATAAATTTGGAATCAACTTGCAGTATAGTCCAGTGGTTCCCGATTAGCATTGAGCCACGGACCCCTAGTTAAAACTTAAATTGGACGGGGGACCCCTTATTTGTGTATACTTACTTTTCAATTTTGTTTAATTATAAAAATGAATATGATTTATTTTAATAAATTGGCGGACCACCAATTGGGAACCACTGGTATAGTCAGTCGATATAGAACATATTAAATCTACTCCATCCCCGTTCGGTGTTTTTTTTTTTTTTTTCTGTAACAATAACAGAGTAAAATAGTCGTTTTTAGACGTAGACAACCCCCCCGCCCCTTCCCGCCGAACGAAATGGAATAGATTGCGGTTGCGGTAGATACGTTTTCGGTGTAGATAGCATGCGGCGCGAGTTCCCACAGTTTTCCATCCTCATTAAGATTAATTAACAGTTTCTATAAACTATCCGTAGTTTATACAAACGCTAATAAACGATTTACAATATTTTCAATTCAGTTTACAGCGCGAAAACACGACCACAGATAATTGTATTATACAGGTAGGTTTAAAATGACAATTGAAATTTGCAGTTTTACAATATCCACAACGGTGTTCATGATAATAATGGCGCAGATGCCCACTGTCCGTTTGAAACTTCCGTCAGTCATCAATGTCGCGTTTACGTTACGCAAAATCGTTGAAGTCGTTTACCTGTCGGGTCGTCACGCACAATACGTGATGCACTACGCGGCATATGCGCCATGTAAAACGAAAATAACAATAACACAAATTGTACCGCGTCCAATAAAAGCGGTTGGACGCAGGTAAATGGTTTAAATATAAATTCGTCGTTTCGTTTTCTAAACGGCCGGGTCGTCAGCGCTCGCAGAATATTATTTTCATTCCGTTCCGTGAACAGTGAACACAGTCGAGCCAGTTGATGTTTAGCAGCACTTGGCACGTACTGCTCATTCACGATTCATAGCATAATAATATTTTAATTTTATAATAGTTTCGTAACAAAGACACTCGAGTTTAATATTACAAACAAATGTCCAACGAATAATAGGTACTTACGAATTAGGTACGGTAGAAGAAAAATCGCGTAAACAGTTGTTAAAAACCGTAGACGTAAATTAATGTTATGTTCATTATCTATGTGTAAAGCTGAGGTATAATTCAGAAGAATAATTATTGTTAATTTTGTGTACAAACAAAATATAAGAGATAAAACCGTGTTACCGGTAAGCCGGTAACTGCAACGACATCGCGCCGACAAAACGACCTACCAAAGACTATAAAAGAATATTTTCAAACGAATATTATTTGGTTAATAGATAGCGCCTTACGCTGCAACAAGTTACACTCCCGTTTGGTAATCGATTTTTATTGTGCGTTGTGCAATGGCATTTTTGTTCAGAAGTTTAATCCCGTCTTCCGGTCTTGTTGCTACGTCCGTTGTAAGTATATTATGTTCACATAAATAATGCATAATTTCTACGAATCAGAATAATTAATGCGTAGGTATATAGGTGTGTAATGATTATTTGTCGATAAGTTAACACGTTCATTACTGTTAACGTAATATCTACGTTTACAGACCGTTTGTTCTTGTCAAATTTGTGTTTTACTAATCTATGTTGAAACATTATACAAATCAGATAAAATAACTTTAACCCCGTTACATGTTTTGGAAGATCGCATGAGTGTGTCCGTTTAAATCTGAATAATCTGATATAGGTAAGTAAGATTAAGTTTTATACTTGATTAATAACTTATGGGTAATGACCAATGTCATTATCTCCTGATAATATAAAATCTACATGTTGACAAATTGATGTTCAGCTTTAACTTCAAGATTTAATCATGTTATTGACATCAATGAGTAACGTTTTATATGTAGCAGTATTGGGCATTGCTTTGGCATTTGGTTATTATTGGTCTGTGAGTAATAAATTAGTAATAATTGTTATTGTTTGTGTGAACTATAGACTTAAAATAGATTCTATTATAAGTCTATGGTGTGAACTTTGTAGATGTACCAAAATCTGTGTTTAATTATATCATTTGATTATAAATTGATTTATTTTTCATAGTTTTGTGATTAGTTTCAGGCTAAAACTATTAGTAACGCCGCTAAAAATATGACTGCAGATTGGAAGAATGCAACATCTGTGTACGATTTTACAGTAAAGAACATCAAAGGAGAAGATGTGTCATTGGAAAAATACAAGTATGACATATTTCACTCTATTGTGAAAACAACGATAGTGTAATTTTTTTGTTCCATAGGGGTCATGTATTGATCATAGTCAATGTAGCATCCAAATGTGGTTTTACTGCCAAACATTACAAAGAGTTGAATGAACTAGATGAGAAGCATCGTGAAAAGGGATTAAGGATTCTTGCTTTCCCGTGTAATCAATTTGGAGGCCAGGTAAATATCAAATCAAAATGTTGATAACACAATGATCATTTAGAATTTGTAAAATAAAAAATATAGGTATATGCGTACATCTCAAGCACAATTATTATAGAAGTGATTTAGTTAATCATCATTTATTAATTTAGTTAAATTTTAAATCTCAGTCCATAGGTACTAAGGCTTGTTATTAAAATGTTTAGGGAAGTCCCAGTAACAGCAATCCATTCTTATAACCTTCAATTAATGATCATATAATTGGCAGTTTTATATTAGCTAATTGACAGTGATCCCCAAAATAACTAATGACTGAATTTTATTGTTCTACGCATTTATAGGTAAACATTGAAAATATCATTTATATTAGTCGAGTTATATTGTTGTTATAATTCTGTATGGTTATTATAATTGTTATTTTGTTTTATATTATAGAAAATAATATTTTATACTATATTGAAAATTAATAATAAGATTAATTTATCTGATAACTTAGCAGTTTACGAGCTTTTATCAACACTTAACTGGACATTGTAAGAATGAGCCTTAGTTCATAATCCTTTATTTAATTAATGATTATTAAATACTAGCTGACCCGGCAATGTTTTGCTTTTGCTAGGTATTGGTTTAAATAATAATAATGTGTTTTTTGTCTGTGACAGCCAAATTATCACCCATATCGCCCAGGTAATCTATAATCAGTAAATCAAATTTTATTAATGTTCTAAAAATATCAAAATCCCTCCCGTCCAGCGTTGCCTGGGCCAATTTATTTGTTATTTCATCTGTATCACCAAGGTTACCCATGAATAAACAAAAATACCTATAAACCTCTATTTTACCCCTTTAGGGATTAAATTTTTAAAAATTCTTTCTTGGCTGATGCTTATGTCTTAATAGATATTTGTATGCCAAATTTTAGCCTGATCTGTCAGTCGGGACATGTTATATTATATATTATATAGATTTTATTAAATTTGTTATTATCCAATTTATGTATGACGTATGTTCTATACTTAGTAGATTATCCTTTCTTATTCAACTACTATTAAAGTAAACAGGCTATTAACTACTTTTATACTCCTGTTTATAGAAGTGCATTTGTTGCACTTCTTTATCATTAACTTGAGTTATGATTATGTCTGTGGGACACTGTATGCTATCATAATGTTATTTTTACATCCATCCTTTCAGAACTTAAAACATGAATTCTTATTGTTTATCGTAATTCAAATATGAAATATTAATCTAAATTAATAATTACTTCACTCCTATAAACAATAAATTTAATTTCTTCGCAACACTTGTACCTGTTATTGCTAATGTTTACATCTTTAAAAAAAATGATTAAACATTAGGTTCTAATAAATTAAATTAAATTTTATTTACACATGTATGTTAGACAAAATTTTTTTGTAAAAATAATTTTATAAATAACTAATAAGTAATAAACAATTTCAAATACATTCAATATTGAGTTACATTGATATATTGAAATGTGATTGACAACTGATAATGCTCAAATGAGATGAAAATAGATGTGAACCACTAAGTTAATATATGATAATCAGCAGATTATTTGGGCAATATAGGCAGTGGGTCCATCCATAGTATATGACAGAGGCGGCCAAACAGTTGATCACGGACAAATTAAAGTCGATTATGTTAGAATTTATTTTTAGGCCACGTGCATGAAAATTAATCATGGTGGTAGATAAAAATATTGTTGATATATTTTATTTTTTATTCTGGTTCTGTATGTCAAATGATTATCGTTCACATAGTTGTTTCTAGTTCAGTAATCTAGTTTTACTGTGTTAATTTAGTTTCTGTTGTATTAAATTTATAATAACTTATTTAAGTTCCTTAAAATGTATAAGTATAAGTGCACACAAAAAACAAAAATTTATGGATGTCAATTCATAATACAAAGGTGAAGTATATTATTTACTAGATCACTCTCAAAAAAAGTTTGGTCACCCCTGGTATATGATTTAAGGAAAATAAGGGGAATGGTATCGGAAAAAAAATATATAAGCTCCAAAAACTTAATTTATAATTCTGCTCTAAGACATAGATAAACACATTTTTTGATAATTAATTAAATTTTAAAATGTAAGTCTATCATATTTAATTTGAATCAATTTTCCAATTTATTCATTGTGTTTGATGTTATGCAAATAATTTTAAATTGCACTATAAAAGAATTTCATAAAACTTAGAAGAATTTAGTACATTATTATTTATTAGCTTATTATATAATATTTTAAATTTTATTATTATTATTTCATACTTAAGGAACCAGGTGACGCTGATGCTATTTGTAGCTTTGTTAAAGAACAAAAGGTTAAATTTGACCTATTTGAAAAAGTTAATGTCAATGGTAATGATGCAGATCCATTGTGGAAATATTTGAAATCAAAACAAGGTGGTTTATTGATTAAGTAAGTATTTATTTAACTTTTACCATAGCCTTATAAGTTTGTGTTTATTAACAACTTTTTTCACCAGAAATCTTGCTCTGATTATCAAGTATAGCATCTTTTCTAAAGGCAAATGTTTTTTAGTTTGTGTATCAAGGAGGTCATTTTTGATTTTTATTGTATTTTTCTAAATAATGGCGAAATTATGGGAAAGTTTACTTAATATTAGATAAAATATTATGTTTGCTAATATATATTTATGTTTTTTTTTTTTTTTTGTAATCTGATTATAAATAATTATAGAGATCTGGCATATTTTAAAGAATAATACAGCCCTTTCTAGACATAATAAAATTTTCAAAATATTACTATTGTATTTTTAACTATTTGCTGTTATTATGTTTGAGTTTTTAAGTTTTTATTTGATTTTATGTGGTTAAAAATTGTTTGGCCCTGCCAAAATGTTTAAACATTTTACATGAGTTTCATCATAAGTAGTATTTAGTGATTAACAAAAAGTTGAACATAATGCCAGTTTTCTTATTTGCGTTTTAAGTTTGAATTTAAAAACATAATTATAGCATTTCAAAACATGATAAAATACAATAAAATTAATTTTAGTGAATTACTTACAGTTGTTTTCAACAATGATATTGGCATTACATTTTTATAATTATACATTATTTTACATTATTTATGTCGGGACAATAACAAACAAGTATCTTCTTTAGCAATGATTTAACATTATGCACAGATATAAATTAAATTTCTCTATATATTCTACTTTCCCAACTTCCTACCTATTTTAGATTCGGATTAGAGTGACAAATCTATTGGTTTACTATTATCTATTATAAGTTTATATTAAGTACCTATATAACATTTATAAATTTATAAATAACTGATCCTGAAAATTACAATATTATTTATTTTATTTCAGTGATATCAAATGGAATTTTACCAAATTCATTGTAGACAAAAATGGATTGCCTGTTGAGAGATTTGCTGCTAATACAAGTCCATTGGTAATACAATTTTTATTAAGTATTTTTAATTGTTAATTAGCCAAGTTTTTGAAAACGTGGAGTAAAAATGCAATTTAGCCTATTCAATATTATTTGGAGTATGGATATTGCTACTAATAAAGACTTTTTCTGACTTCTGAAACCTAAAGACCCCATACATAAGATAATTTGTTATGCAACTTGGTAGTGTTAATCAGGATGTTTTGGCTAGTTTTTGTTTTAGGGGGCAAACCTCAGATGTGGTTGTTGTATTTGTGGCCATGTCATTAGTCCGCCTATAGATGATAGAAACCAAATATATCATCATTGATAAAACATTATTTCATAAAAAGTATTTTAAAATGTAGCTTTTGTTTTCTATATAATGGACTCAAATTATAGTATTTTTCTATACATACATATATATATATATATTAATCAAACACAATTCACCTGAGTTAATAAACTAATTTTATCATATATAAATTATCTTAAAACGGTTGGTCTGACAACAAGTTTATCAATAAATTGTTTCATGTATACCCCATACATGGATATTATATATTTTAGGTATACAAATTATATTTACCAAAATGATTTATTATTGATAGTTGATTGTAGATAAATATAGTTTTATATTTATGAAGCTAATCATTGGGCTAACAGAGAAGTAATACAATCATTTTACTTTATTAATATTATTTATTTTTACATTAAATTATTTTTAATAGATTAATATTGGTTTATTTTAACAAAAATTAAATGCACTTTGGTTTTTCAAAAATATTTTTAAATTACAAACAAAGAAATGTAGAAAGCAATATAAAAACACATACCTAATATACTTATTATGTAGAAATATATATTAATCATTTATCATTGTCATTATGAATTCATTACAGGTATTATTGCTCAGAACTGATATGTCAAATGTATTTATCTGTAATCTATAATCTATAATTTATTTTCACAAATATATTAAACACATTGTTTTTTAAATAATTTATATACTAGGAATGTTATTTTTTTGTTGAATATATAATTTCTAACAAATATTCAAATATAATATTAAAAATTAAATTTGAATTGTTCATATTTAAAAATATTTTTAATAATTATGTTGTGACTTTTTTTTTTCAGGACATGGAAAAGAAATTGAACAAATATTTTTAATAAAACTATCAAAAATGAATTTATATGCAATATTCAATTTATCTTATTAAATTGATTGAATATATTATTTTTCCCATTATTAATAAGGCTGAAAAATGTTATTTATATTATTTTATTTATTTTTTTTTTTTTTAATTATTATCTTATTATCTTATTAATCAAAAAAAATCCAATTATACACTGTAGTTTTAGATTTGTGTGAGATCATATTTTAAATTGGAACATTATGTATTTCGTCTTATTTAAATAAAATATGTATTCTAATGGATAACAGTCTTTTGCACTATTTTGTTTACAGCTGCACTATTGTATATTTTAAAGTACAATTTAATATATTTTCATTCAGTTATTAGTTTGAGAGTTATTGTATTCTATAATGAAAATCAGTATGTATTATTATATTATATACATATGGGAGTCAAAATAAAATTATATTTATGAATAAAGGTAAAACAATAGTATTAAAAGGAACTGGAATAAATGACGGACCTAGTTTCGAGGGTCATTTCGTTTAATCTAAAATTCAAAAATTAGATAATTGTATACTATTTTCTTGTTAGGATTTTACGCAGTACACATATCGGTGAATAGCATTCAAGTCTTCATCAAATTTGTATTAATTTTAAATAACGAACAATTTTTAAATTTTTTGTGATGTTACTATCAGCCCTTGGTAAACCATTACGGAACACCAAGGGCTCCATGGAGCATAATTTGGGAACTGCTGGTCTATAGATATTAATTTTGATCAACAATTTTATGTCCATTGTTAAGGGGTTTGTATAGACAACCGTCTATATTATCGAGCGCTGCAGTGTCCCTTAGGATTTGTACTGATTCTTGTACTTATCTCATCTATAGTATTTGATTATAATAATTATGATGACAAAATCGCGTTACACGTGATTACAATTTTTTATTCAAACCAAAATATAATTGTCCATATCAAGATAATTTTTGACCCAGGGAAAAAAATTAAAGCCGTTTCTATTCTGATATGTTGACGGGTATACTTACTTAAAAAATGCATGTACTTATCTGTCTATATTATATAATTGCTCCCCCCCCCTTATATCATATTAAAATAACAAGAGACCTTTCTTTTGTTGTACTTTAGATCTAGTTGGTGAATTAGACTGGAGGTCATTTATTTCATTATCTAAGTGATTTTAAAAAATAATTGGGATAAACTAAAAACAAAAATTTAAGTAGAACGGCGAATAATAATAATTTTTTTTTTATAATTGTCTAAGATCAAATGTTGAATAATATCGTAATAATGTATAATATTACTGCTTTACAAATCATGTATAAACGAACTTCACTCAAAATCGTTTTTCGTAATCATTGATTTATCATTGCTATAGTCTGCTATAGAAATAAATTAAGTTACTTTACGTGTCCACTGTTCAACCTCCTCAATTTCCCACTTCCAACATTGGCGCATTCATCAGCAGACCAATGCAAGTGTATTACAAATTGTTATAAAATTGTAACGTGCTTATTTATTCGTTTTTACTGCAACGTGCATTTTAAAAAGCACCCACGAATAATATGAGACACTGCTTGTAAAAAGTCCTTTCTGATGGCTAACCATTAATTTTATAAAACGATCTATGCCGATACGATAAAATACATGTCGATTATTTGACAGTAAAATCGAAAAACAAACTATTGGCAACCTGTATAATTACTCAAAATAAACGGTACCCATACGGTTTGTTTGTTTTTGTTCTGATACACATACTTAGGTTGATCAGAGAGAAGATTGGACGTGTGTGGTGATATTATATTCTCAAAAAAACCAGTCAATCGCCGCCAATAAATTAACACATGCGTGACAGAACATTATGTACTTATCTGTCAATATTTTGTTTGTTAGCAAACCGACAGAACCGTCGTCGTTTTGTGTAGTGTTTGAGAATAGAGTAATGTGCATCAAACATATTATAATACCTATATCGTTATTATAACCTGACCTTCATTCGGTACCGCGAGAATAATGAGAGTATAGATAACAGTAGTACATGTATAATATAGGTCGTATATAGCACGTAGTTGCATAATTTGTATTCCAATTTCAGAGGTTTCCTATTTAGAAATGCATTATACCAAACATTTGTCCAGACATTTTTACTCTATCCCACCTCCACCGAAAATATATCCTGATTGTGCCATTAATAAATAATAAGGTATTGAGTATTCCCCTCTTTCAACAAAATATTATTTAAAAATAATATTCTTATTTGTTTTATCGTTTATACCAATATATTAATTTTAACAGGGATGGGATGTCCTGTACGGCTACTCGACAAATGCCAGGTAGCCTGACCCACGAGTGACCTGACGTGTTGAAAATTATTGTTCCTAGTAAAAAAAAAAATAAATAATTTGATATTAAAATAGATGTAACACTTATCGGCAAAACGAAAATAAAACCAAAGAGCATAAAAAAAAAAATCTCTAATTATATAAAATATACCGTCTTAACTCCGCTAATAGCGGCACAGCCATACTCATTCACCGTCTTATCACCCCTTGTCACATCATACTTAATACCCATATCAACTCGGACAGAATTTCTGCCGTCTACAAACGTTCATCCCAAATGACATAGATCCTTTCATAAACGGTTGCGATTGGTTTGTGGTTGTTGGTGATTTTGACACGAAACACACATTGTGGTCGAGTTCTTTATCGAAAAGTCTAGCGATTCGATTACGTCACTTTCGCTTCCAGTACGCCAACACCTTTCCCCGATCACCCGGGTGTCTTAGACGTTGTTTTCATTAAACTCCTGCATTACTATATCGAAGTAATTAATCTAAATGAGTACCAAGCGATTACAACCCCATATTTTTGAATACTTCTGGTTCACCTATCTCATTCTCACCACCTCCTTCTTGACGCATGCATTGGTCCAAATTCTCCACTAAACTCAACAAAATGATAATAAAAAGATTCATTCTCTCCCAGTGAACAATATGGGTATAATGATAATAGTTAGCTGTTAATATGCCAAATACGAGCGCACCCGCAGGATAAAATCCCATCCAGGGGAAAAGTGTTATTCTAGAAATATTTTACATTGTTATGGTGAAATGGTATGCTATTATGGGTTGTAAAAGTATGTCTCCTTTTGTACCCCTCCTCCTGCGGACACTCTTGGCCAGTATATTTAATACATATTGTATATTATGAGAAAGTTTACGGATTGAACTTAATTTTGTTTTTCTTGTTATGTAGCGCATGTCGTTTGTGTCAGACGTCGGCGCTGAAAAGTTAACACTGATGAAAAAACTTAAAAACCTAATAAAGACATTTATAGATGTATCAGAAATGAAAAAATCGTCGCATAAAACGAATACCATGGAAAATCTAACCAGTATCTACGACATCACCGTTATGGATTTGTATAGTAAAGATGTTCATCTAAGTAAATACAAGTAAGCGTGTCCCTTGGAAATATATAGGTATATACTTATACGCAATGTCGTTTTGTCCGCATAATAATTGATTTTCGATTAAAAGACAATTAATAATTTAAATTTTCACCTTCATGTGAACAATGAATACATTGTTTTCATCAAATTGTGTTTAAAATAATTGATTTAAACTACATAAAATACGGTTATTTTTAAAAAATGCTTAAAAATTAAAATTCTTCATGAATACAGAATTTATTTATAAAATAAATGATTGCTTTAAAAAATCATTTTTCAGATTCTGAGATGGATGTATTAAAATGATTTAAAATGGTTTTACAATGATATTTATTTAATTTTTTTTCTGCGTACAACTTTTCTATCAGCAATTTTGCTTCGATTTAAAATGATAGCACTTTTTTTGAAAGGAAATCGGACTGGAGAGATACTTTAGGGACGCCATTTTTTGATTTTTCCAGTCATTTTCCGAACAAATGGGAAAACTCGGAAAAACGGAAGAATAACGGGAAAATGTATGGTAAAATATTATGGTCTTTTATTACTATGGACAACTTTACAACCATTAATTTTGCTCCGATTTACAATGACAGCGGTTTTTCTAAAAGAAAATCTGACAAGGGAAGTATTTTAGGGAAGTCATTTTTTGACTTTCCCAGAAGTTTTCCCAACAAGTGGGAAAAACCGAGAAAAAAGAGAAAATAGGTACAATATTAAAAAAAAAATACTTTGCATGATAGATGGACTACTGTAGATGAAAACTTGGGAAGGTAGGATATCGAGGGGAATTTAATGTATATCTATAAGCAAAAATAAATCATTGCTAACGAAAAACAATTCGGAGTGGAGCCGGTTAATAGTATTGTTTTTTCAACAATATATATTTTATGTAATATTATCTATATATAAAAATGAATCCATATTTCTCTTGGTCATCGCATCACGCGAGAACGGCTTAATCGATTTTAACGCAATTTTTTGCAAAATGTTCCGTATCCTGAGAAGGTTTAAAGCTATTAAAATTCATCCCCTATTTTTTGGGGGGTTTGTTCATAGCAATTAGTTCACCGTAGTTTGGTTCTTCAAAACTGGATTTTAAGAATATATAATTTCGGTCTCTAATTATGATAATCGAATTATTAATTTTGCATAAATATAAATTGTCGGCAAATACATACATAAATGTAAAAAAGTAACGCCGTATCATCTGCAAGTGACGACTATAATACAGTACACGCGCTCTCCCACTGCCGAGCTCCACTCCTACTTCTCGGTAGGTTAGGTTAGGCATAATTTCTTTTGAAATCTCCTCCCCCCCGAAATTCAATGTTAAGATATTTTTAGTATTATAATAGGGTGACCATATTTAAAAAAATAAAATACAGGACAAAAATATTATCCATAATATTTTTAAATTAATAAGTATTTATTATATTTTTTTTTTGTTGTTTAAACTATTAAACGTTAAAATTAAACACATAAAAACATTATTTTGAAAAACATAAAATAATATATAATTAAATTAAATTNTACTTTACTTTTTAAAAAAAACTTGTTAATTCATTTTGATGGCGATTGTTCTGACATTTCTTCACTAATTGATGTTTCATATTTTTCTGAAGAACTAATTAAGTTTAACAATTTGGGATGTTCTAAAAGAAATTTATGAAATTCAATACACGACGTATCTTTAAAATGTTGTTTTACGATAAACATTGATCTAATGGTGTCCACAAGAAATCGATTTTTTTTTATGTGTCCATAAGACGTTTGCAATTGAAAATACCGATTTATATATAGTACATAAAACCTTTCCAATTTCATTACTATCTCTTAAAAATGGAAATTAATTTTTTTAACTTGCAAGTAAATGCACACCTTCGCTTAGGCATTTTAATTGATTACTTTCATAAAAATTTACAATATTGTATATTACGATTAACAACAAGTCGACGACACTCAAGAGTCAACGATTGTTGGAACATTACTAATGAAATAAAAACATTTCAAAATATGTTTGATTATCGATGACATAATGCTTGTCCACGACATGGGGCTATTATTTGGTTATTATTAATATATTTTTATTTTACAATACGCTCACATTTGATAACGATCTGGTTTACGTCGCCGACAACAATGTGATGCAACAATAATAATGGTAAATCAAAAATCCAAAAATACAATTGAAAAGTATAGATTCTTTTATTATTCTATTCAATAATGTCATTTCAAAAATTTCAAAAATTATAAATTAACAGTAAGACAAAAAACGGGATTACCATGGGACAGATTTGAAATTATAGGACAAAAAGCGTCCTGAGAGAAGTTTGATAGGACAACAGGACACAAAGCCGAAATAAATGACTAAATCAGATATAAATTATCTTTCGACCAGAAATCTTCTTGCCCGGTTCATATTACTTCACTTATACCAAAAACATCAAATTTGAGCCTTTCCATTTCTAGTTTAACATTTCTTAGTTTACCGTATGCTCCCAACGATTCCATGTCGCTATTCTTATCTTCCTTACTTTTGAAGAATCCAGAATTTGTATTGGCCGTTTCCGCCCGGAGATCCAAACGGGGGACTTTGTTACCTCTGAAATTCTTTACCTCAATAAACATTTTATTAGTATCGTCCGATAATTGAATGCAGTAGTTTCCTCTTGTTTTCTGTATCGCAGTTGATGAGTTATTTTTGTAAGTTATCCCCGTGGCTGCAGCCATCAACAAGCCTTTCCATTACCGTTAGATCATCTACGGAAATCGCCAATAGCGATGTGACAGTATGGCGCTTATATAATAGATAATATATTATCAATTATATTCTTATTATCTAATAATATTATGACATTATTGTACAATGTTCATGAAGCTTTTTGTTTTATTCGATTAAAAATAATCATGGAGACTTGACATTTTCACAAAATACTTATATTAGCTTATCTCTCCTCTGATTTTAAGTGGTTTTTTGAGTATTCAATGCTAAATAGTTAAATTCACAGTGAAAATAGATATTTTTATATTCTTGTACTATTATTATAGTTTGTATTTCTCACTAACGATTGAAAAGTGAATCGGCCGAAAAGGAAAGGGTATGATTTTGATTAAAAACGGTTATGCCCAACTATAAATATTATAACATTACCAAGAATTGATTTTCATTTATCATTATCATTTATTGATTTCAGAGGAAAAGTATTGCTCATTGTAAATTACGCGGAAACAACCTATTTAGCTCATGATAACGTGGAAAATCTATCGAGACTGGCCTTAAAGTATGGATACCTAGGGTTTCAAGTGCTGATGTTCCCCAGCAACACTTTCTATGATGTGAGACGGTTTATATTACAGAATACAAACGATGCTTTATAACACGTACGACGGCCGTTTATCGGTTATGACTAGAGTGCGGATTTAAATGCTCTAAAAACAAGAAAAATGCCTTAAAAAAGATATAAAAACTATTTTAAACGTTGAAAAAAACTTGTTTTTATTAGGTACATCAATTTACTAAACACAGCAGTACCAATAGTGCAATACGGCTACATTATAACTCGATAAATAGCATATGGTTTTCTTTATTATTGCAGCTGGCATTGTATTTATCTGGTACAATCGGTAAATCTATAAAACATTTTAAAAATAGAAATTAATTTTTTTTCTTATAGGGGATAAATTGTATCAAATTTCCTGATAACACTATGAAGTTTGTAAAAATAAGAAAAAAATGTCTTAAAAACCTTAAAATATATTTAAAATGTCAAAAAATGCAAAATAATAGTTTCATATTTAAATTATTTGATATATAAAATATATGTGCTTGGAAATCATTGCTTTAGGACATTAAGAAAAAAATGCAATTTGCATTATAATCTGCACCTTAGTTATGACTATAGAAAATTCATGTTTGTAGTAACATATTTTGTTTATCATATATTAGAAAATATAAATAAGTGACACGGTGAATTTGTTGGCAATGACTAAAATGAAATGACTACGGGAAAGCGATCATGATTTTTATTATAACGTTATAATACATTAACATTAATCATTAACCAAACAATTTTACGCTCCGAAATGTTATACGATATTAGTCATTGTCATTATCGATAATGGTCACATGTTATGGTCGCAATACAATAAATTTCAATATTCATTTCTAAATGTCATAATATGATTTTTCAATCGGTACCTCAAGTACTTGATTTTATTGAAAACGTATTTGATCAGCGTGAATGCCAAATAGGTACATACGTAATGTTTTTTCCGTCTAGTAATTAATACGTTAATATATTTTTATGCAGAATTTCGGAGGAAATAATGCTGGTATTAGATTAAAAAGAGAGCATCCTGAATTCGATGTATTTTCTCAAGTTAATGTTAATGGTTATCATACACATTTGCTATATAAATATCTCAAGAATAAATTGCCTGGCAGAGTTTGGAAATCGGAGTAAGTTATCTAAAATTCTTAGGTAGCTTTGTGAATATTTCATTAAATAACATGTGCATTTAATTCATTTTAGAGATATTACAACTAGTTTCTTTAAATTTTTGATAGACAGGAATGGGAAGCCCTATCAACGTTTCAACTCACTTGAACTATTTGAGGTAACTAATATAATTAATTAAAATTAAATTATTTGTAAATATATATATTTTTAGATTCTGAGTGGAGCGAAGAAGCTTATGGTTTTACAAAGATGTTTACTTTTTTCTTTTATCCGTACGCAACTTTTCTACCAGAAATCTTTCTCCGATTTACAATGATATTACTTTTTCTGGAAGGAAATTTGACTAGGGAGGTATTTTAGGGAGGTCATTTTTTGATTTTCTCAGGAGTTTTCTCAATACATTGGAAGACCCTGAAAAAACGGGAAAACGGGAAAATAGGTACAATATTAAACAAATATTAATAAAGAAAATATATAATGCTTATGTAATTATTTCACCATAACATGACATATTATATATTGTTGACAAAGCAACATTATCAACTGAACTCCGTTTAGAATCGTTCTTTCGTTAGCAATGGTTTATCGTTACTTACAGATATCCATTAAATTCCCGTCTGTATCCAGCTTTCCAACTTCCCACCTACAATAGTAGCTGCGCCCACGTGCAAAGTATTTTTGTTTTTTTATTTTATTTTAGCAGCCCATAGTCTGGTTGGCAACAACTATCCAGTCTTCTTACGCTCCTGCCTTTATTTTTAGCATATAATATAATGTGCATTATAGGGATAATGTAGCTTAAGGGGCATATTATTCTACTGTTTTTTCTTTTAACTATTCCCTCAATTATTATTGTTAGAAAGTATTTGTGTTGGAGTACCTGTCTTCTCATCCTGGCTCGGCTACTTTGTAATGTTTTATAGTACCTAAGCATCTTGTTTCTCCAGCTTTTAGTAAAACTTCCTCGTTGCTTATAATATGTTCTATCTAACTCATATTTAATATTCATCTACAGCACCATATTTCAAACACAAATATACTTCTTTCTTTTATCTTTCCTATTGTCCACGTTTCGCTTCCGTATTGTAAAACGATTCCAGAGAAAAGTTTTTATTAGATTTTCTAAACTTTTAGATCAATATGTATGTATGAAATACAGCTTTTCTTTTTATATAATGCACATTTGACCCGTCCAATCCTGTTTTTATTTCAGGCGTCGTTCATAACCGCACACTTTTCATAAGTCATTTCCGCATTTTTTATTTTATTTTTTTATTGTTTATTATTAGGTATTCTTAACCGTGCACTTTTGATTAACATTAAAATTCGGCTGTCATATGAGTAATAACACATACATTTATCTAAAATCAGATTATCGTTTACAGCCACACTACAGAATCAAAATCGCTAATTTATAAAAATTAAACTTTCGAGGTGGTTTGTGTTTATCAGTAGCTTAAAAAAATATTTTCATAATAAAATAGTCACTATTACCACTCCGAAAATTGTTTTAATAGAACTTTGAACTTGCACTTTTTTCTTATTGAAATCATATCATTTATAAGTACCAACATTTTAATTAATACAAATAATAATAATATTTTAAATACTAAAATATTAAGTAAAATTAGTTATTAATTAACAATTAATAACCAACATTATAATGGTATTTTAGCTATATTTAAAGTTATGGAATATTTATATATTATATTTTACCTGCGCAACCAATTATGATAAACAATTCGATGACGAAACAGGCGGATATGTAAACAATAGACAAAATATGTACGGTATTCAACGACGTAAAATATGCTTTATTAATAAAAAAATGTTTGCGGAATTGAATTGACGACCTTTTTATGAGAGTTTGTGGTTATTCTCATGAGTCATAATGTAATATTTTCATTTACATTTTCTTCTTTGTACCTGGAGTTTCTCCAAGTAATTTGTCCAACTTTTGGCTACTTCCTGAACGTAAACAATTTTTCTGTTCATTCTTTAATACTGTGTACGTATTGAGGTTTCTTTTATTGAAAATAAATATGATTTTCACCATACTGTATACTTTAACCATCACTTCTTTAGATGTTCATTTATATCATTCCATACTTTAATGATTATATATTAATTTTTAATAAGTACGATAGTCATTGTCATTTCGTAGCACTGTAATAGTTCAACAACTTGAAATCGTTTATTTGTAATTAATAACAAATGAATACGTGACGATTTATTTATTAATATTACATATTTCCATCCTAATTTCTTAAAATAAAAATTTAAAAAATATAGTTTGCCAACAATTGTTTACATAAACTTAAACCTATCCGAATAATAATTAGATAAGTCTAATTAAATCCGTCATATTATTCCGATGAATGATTGAATGTACTATAGATAAATAATAATTAATTGTTTTGATTTTTATTGTTAAAGAGCATAGAAGAAGCGATGAAGGAAGTTTTGATTAAGGATTTCAGATTTAAACTATAAGGTACCTAAATACAAGTATGATATTATTCATCATTAATATTATAGATTAGTTTTGATCAAACATTTTAACTACTTTTCCGTGTTATGAAACATGCAAAATATTTAGGTAGGTACTTATTTTAATTTTAATAAACTAAAAAAATAACTATTCACATATTTATTGGACAATTGTGTAAATCGAATATTACTTAATAGTAATGAATTGAATTGACATTATATATGTGGCTAATTATAATAATTGAGACTTGTAAAATAAATAACCTCTACAAGTTAATATAATAGTATTTATTTAATACAAAAATTTTATATTTCAATAATAAACCTTTTATTTTTTAAAATTTTTTTTCTTTTAAGAAAAATTTTCTACCAGAAATCATGCTTCAATTTTCATGTATAGTACCTTTAATTAAAGGAAATTTTATTTGAATGTTACTTTAAGATGTTATTTTTAATTTTCCAAGTGGTTTTCATTATAATTGGGAAAAACGTAGGAAAGATGAAAAAAATTACTTATATATACAAAAGAAACTTCGCTCCGAATCGTTTTTCGTTAGCAACGTTAGCAATTCGTTGAGTACAGCTATAAATCAAATTCCCCAATATATCTTATCTTCTTAACTTTTTGCCTATAACGGTGACCCACTCCTTGTGCGAATTATGTTCGTCTTTTTTCTTTTTTTTAATGCCGTTGAAACCATTTGGCCAAACATATCCACCTTCATCTATATCAAAATTGGCTTTACTAAACGGATGGCCAAGCAAATATTACGTTCTCATGCGATACGGTATTCTAACACTGAAATATCTTCTCCAATCTCCGATGCCTTAGCTAAATGATCGCGGTACTTCCTAATGCTATTCAGCTAAAGTAGGTAGTTTTATGTTTCACTATGCTTTGATTTCAAAAGAACACGATAACGAGTACCGAATCAAAACAAGAATGTAAGTGAGTATATGTAGGTGTATACTGTACGACCGGTGAGTACTACAAAACGTTAGGTAACCTCGTGAAAACGTGTTAATGTTTAAATACATAAAATGAATTACACACAAACGCTGACAGGGATCGTTCTCCGGGCCTTCCAGCCGAAGCTCTGGGGGAAGAGTGATTTTTATAATAATATTTTATTAACTTTTTCCAATGATTTTTATAAAATAAACGCATCAGCCCGCGTAACGTAACTCGTTGAGCAGATGTACCGATATTATATTTTAACATAATGCAAATATTAATGCTCCCAACAGTGACAATCGCGTATAACACTATTATAATATATTAAAATATTTTGAGAATATTGTATATAATATTATTGGCGACTGGATATACTGCTGTTCGGAAAATTCTTTTTAACGCAATTTTCCAAATGAAGTCCTGGCATTTTTCTTACATATATATATATTATCAATGTTATCTATATTATCTATATTAATAATTCATAAAGAATATATAATATACATAAACGATGTACGTAAAATGTTCGTAATTAACGAATTACATAAATATAAACAACAAGATACAGAAATACTGGGAACTGAAGAAGTTGTGGTTGGTGGTGATGTGATTGGATACATGTCCGGTGTTGAGAATACAGGATACGAAAGAGTACATACATGAAGGTACGTTTTTTGTCAAGAGGGGGGGGGGGGGGAGGGAAATGAAGCTGTAGAATAAATCGTAGATTAGGATTCTAGGAAAACGGAAGAGTATTATATTATATAATAATTTACTGTAATTTTTAATTGTTTTCTAGCAACAAATTTAAATTTTGAATGACACATCAATAATACTTGTTGGTTAGATGTCTAGGGAGTACATTATATGTTTAACAATAAACGTAATCAATTAATAATTTTCCTCAAAGACTTTTGTTCTCTATTCATGGGAGTTGCTCCCATAGTAGTAACTATCATGCAATACTATCATCGGGTGACTGCGGCTGAACTTCCAAAATACCTATAAAATACCTACTAGTATTTGGAAAATGTTTTAACGAATGTATGTACCCGTATTGTAATATTTAATTTATTTTTGTACTTATAAGCCTGTTTATTGTTATTGTTATTATTATTTACTTATTGTCACTATAGTATTGAATTATTAAATTGCATTTAAAATTGTGTTATATTTTTAATTAAAAATTATTTCCGTTAAATGAAATGGTTATTGTTATTATTATGTAGCATAATTTGTAGCATTTAAAACCGAATCATATATACATATAATATGTTGTTGACTATATTATGAATTTACGTAAGTATATTAATAGTTAGCAAAACAATAAAGAATACCAATCTAAATCTAATATGGAAAATAATTATATACTCGTACATAATTACAAACATTTGCTTATAAGAAAGATTTTTTTTTTTATATTCGCTTAATATAGAAAACTTGAAACTGGTACTCTCTATAAACTTGTAGAAATGATAATTTTAGAAAGGAGAATTTAAACAATCGTACGCTTTTTGAATTGTATCAACAATATATTGTCGAAGGAGGAGGTTGTTATTTAATCATTTTAATCTTTTAACACTTCTATAGGCCTCTAAAAGAAGCCAGGGGCTGAAATGAGTATCAACGATGTTCCAATTAAGGATTTTAACTTTAAACTTTCAACTCTTACCATTTTTTTAATCAAACGTCTTTTTATTTTTATTATTTTTTTTTTTTTTTGGTGGGGGAAGATAGGAAATTTCTCTATTTTAAATGTAATATAGTATTGTATTATTGTAGTATTCGGTAATTTATTATTTTACACTAAGAATATATTTATAATATACAATTTATTCTTTATAAAATAAAATTCCACCCTAATAAAACTTATGTCGAGCCTTTTAAACATAAAATTAAATAAATTGACTGGGTACTCCAACAATATTTTTAAAGTTCAAAATTAAACATTTACACAAAACTCCCAAAAAAGTTTATTTTTAATCAATACAAAAAAAAAAAAATCGTTTTTCACAAAACAAATGTAGCTTTTGAACATAAACAATAATTATTAAGGTTAACATTTTATTAAAGAACATAATATTAATTATTTATTTACTTTATTAGTTCAAGAAAAAAAACCGGACAGAATGTAAGTCACAGCTGCGTTTTAAAACGGCAGAAACATTTAAATTAAAATTATAATTTATAAGTGATAACATGTAATATGAGAAAAAGTAATGCTTATTGAGGGGAAATATTAAAAATAAGGTGGGGAAAAATCTTGTTATGATGGTCGGAAAAACCAAATTGGTACCATACTTTTCTAAATCGGTTAATACAACGAATTTCTTCAAATCACATTGGTTTACATTTTAAGGGAAAATTTATACCGGTTTGCTCTGGCGAATTTTTTGTGTGATCCCAGTCAATTAGGTATATTGATTTTTTTCGGAAAATAAATTATCTTATATGTTATGTGTGGTTTTTGATGACTGATTAAGTGATTAGTCTACCAATAAGTTTGTCAAGATATTAGATAAATAAATTATATTTACCAAAATATTTATTAAGTACTGATAGTAAAGTTGATTGTAGATAAAATATTGAGTATTAAACATAGTTGTATAAAGCCAAACTACTGGGGGGCTAGCTGAGAAGTAATAATATAATTTTTTTACTTTAATAATATATATTTGCATTCATAATATTATTTATTTATACATTAAACTATTTATAATAGATTTAAAATTTACAAATACTAGTTTATTTTAACAAAAATCTAATGGACATTGGTTTTTCAAAAATATTTTTTAAATAACACAAAAAGAAATATAGAAAGCAATATAAAACACATAATGTGTCTTATTGCTTAGAAAAATATCTTCCTCATTTATCATTGTCACTATGAATTCAATGCAAGTATTATTGTTTAAAACGGTCGTGTCAAAGGTGGTCATCTGAAATCTATAATCTATAATTTATTTTCACAAATACGAGTATATTAGATATAATCTTAATTAAATAATTTTTAAACCAGAAGTAATATTTTTGTTTAATATCTAATTTCTAACAATTAGAGTAGTTACTTAGTACTTTAGTACTTCAACTGTAGTATTACATATTTAATTATAATTATTTATAACTAACTATACTTAATATTCAATTTATTCGAATAAAGTGATTGAATATATTATTTTTCCCAATATTATAATGTTGAAAACTGTAATTTCTGTTTGTTCAGAGCGTGTAGTTTTGTTAATTATTGAACAAACCGGGAATGAACGGGAAAGTTTACGGAAATAATGATGTCATTATTTCCAATTCTGTTTTTTTTTTTTGTAATTCAATTTAAAATATTCGTAGAGAGTTGAAATATTGATAGACAATTTATGCGTTTTCTATACAAGATAAAATGTTAACAAATATTTTTGGGCGATTTTTAAACTATTCGTGGGCATTTTATATTTGCAATTTTTTTTTTTGTAGAGTTTATTTGGTAAGTACTATGTGGATATAATCGTTTACCAAACGGACATGTTTGAAAACTTAACTGGAGGTTGATTATAAGTTGTGCTTAGTGGTTAAAGTAAAATAGTATAATATGTTGTAGGATTTTTTTTATAATGGTTTTAGAATCTAATTTTGATGAAAAACGTAAATATCACGGCTTTTAAAATCATTTATTAATGAACTTCACTCAGAATCGTTTTTCATTAACAATGGTTTATTGTTGCTTACAGATATACATGGAATAATTGTATGTATCCTATCTTTTTAACATTTCACTTAGAACAATGGCTACACTCGTCTCCACTATCAGCTTTTTTTATATTAATGTCATCATTACTCAAAGAATATTAAATTATATATTGTAGTATCAGATTGCTGTGATCATATTATACTATATAGTACAGATTAGGTATTTTGTCTTGTTTAAATAAAATATGTATCCAAGTGGATAACGGATTTTTTTTTTTTTTGTACTCTGTTTACTAAGTTGTTTGGCTATTTAACATGTCACATTTCATCACATTAACAGTTGCGCAAATCTATTGAGTGTCTGTATCCAGTCCCTAATGTTCAGCTGCATGACTATATATTATAAAGTGCAATATAATATATCATCATTCAGTTATCAGTTTGAGAGTTATTGTTTTCTAAAATGGAAATTCAAGGTTGTATTATTATATGTTTTGTTGCCACTTTTCTATGGGTAAGTTGATTAAATTATATCAACTTTAATAACCTGTGTTTGTTAAATTAATTACTGTATTGTATTATAAATTACAGTAAGTATTTTCAATTGAGAATAATTTTTAGGATAACTATATGTTCAAAAAAAAAATATATATATTTATTATTAATTAGAATGAAGTTTTCTTTGTTGTTTTTTAACCTAGGAAAAACATATAAATAATAACATGTTTTTATTTGAAGTTAGAAACACTCGTTTTTTTTTACCTATTTTGAACACCAAACATCATGCGATGATAACGAATAGGTAATCGAGGTAAAAAATTATATAAAAATAACAAATAGGATTCTAAAAATCGAGACTAACTTTACGTAGGTAGCAGGTACCTAAAACCGATCGAAGCGCTCTTCTTCTCTTTCAAACAATCAGAATATCTTGGTATTTCAGAACAGTTATTTTCGGCACAAAAACTCCATTCAATGATTTTTATAGAGTAATGATTTATGATAATATGGCTATTGCCCGCAATGTATTTGTATTTTTTTTTTAAAATTATTCAACACGTTGAACATTGGCATTAAGATTATTAATAATAGGTTGTTCATGTAAGTTTTAAGTGTACAATTTAAAATATTGTTTCGAGAAATTTTATATCCGTATTATATTTTGCATATATCGCTCCTTTTTATCATTTATCATTATTTTCAGTTGAAAAGGTAACTTGTATCTTAAAACGATGTTTCTTAGTCGTTTATTTTAATCATTTTTATGACGAATTAGAAACATTTTATACAGGTTTATTATAAGTGGAGCAAGCACACGTATTAGTTTTATTGAAATGTGTTCTTTAGATTCAAAGCATAACAAGTGATTAATCAATCTCTCATTTTCGAGTAGAAAACTTGCTCCAATCGAAATATGACTAGACACCTTTTTTGTTGCATTTTGGATCTAGTGCATTAAAGAGGTAATTAATAAAATATTTTTCTAGCAGTTTTTTAATAATTTGAAAAAACATGTAAAACAAACCTAGGAAAACTCAGATAAATATTAACACCATTATTGATTTAATATACCTAACTTACCTTCTCAAGTTTCTATCTACAACAGTGACACACCCATCAGTGGTATCAGATTTTTTTTTTATGAATTTTTAATATTTATACATTATCAAGTTTTGGGTTCTTATTATGTGTAATACGAGTGTATTACATATATATATATTTATTTTTTAATTTAAATCAATGTCGAGAGATTACTGGGCCTCATTGAGAAAAACTCGTGTGGAGGCCCAGGAAAAATTATATAATTTTTCCGTGCCCATTTAATAATAATAATAAACGTGTTTATAAATAATACATTTAATAATAAACGTGCCCATTTATTTATTATCACTGTTGTGTCGATTATTTTATAGAAAAATCGAAAAACAAACTATTTTTTATTAGTATAGGTACTCTACCATTGTTTTTAATCCGATATACTTGTGTAGATCAGAGAGACGATTGGATATATATGTTGATATCTATATTATACTTTTAAAACATCAACCAGTCAATCACCGTCAATAATTTAACATTTACGTCACAGTTAATTATTTATCTGTAAATATTTTATTTGTTAGCAATCCCACAGAACTGACGTCATTTGGCGCAGTGTTTGGGAAACGGGTAATGTGCATCATAATGTGTATGATGTTAATTCACGGAAAAAAAATTCTTGTCATTTGATGTGCTCTGATTTTGAAGAAATAATATAATTGAATATAAACCACAATAATATTCGTATTTGCAAAAATTTCATAAAATTGTAGAAAATAAAAGACCATACCTAAACAGAGTTTCAACCACCAACAATTTTCTAAAAATCTATTTTACAAAATGACTTTATTTTAAATAATTAAAGTATTCAATCATTTCAGCTTTAACTACAATTCAAAATTCCAAAAATCAGAATTTGAGTATACGCAAAATTTAACCAAAAAAATTTGGTGAGCACGCTAAGCGAATCATTCTGTATATTAAAAATATTGAATAGAACAAAAGTTATTTCAAGTGTCAAATCATCGTGAGACATACTGTATATACAATACATTTACAGGCATTATAAATATGTCATTAAGTCGATTACACTTATTTAATTCGAACCCGTTCAAGTTCGAAAATCTCTCTTATCGCTCATTATATATTGTAGTGTGTCGAATCGAAAATTTATTGTGTGCCAACTCTCGCGTACCTACCTACTTAACGTAGTACAGGTTGAGTTCAGAAAAAGTGATATAAAGGAGTTTTTATATTATAGCCATTAATAATATTATTTATTTCGACATTTTATCCTCCAAAGTTTCCTGAAAATTTATGGCCTTCGGAGTTTCATTTGCAGCCATAGTGACAGTCGCGGTATAAGATATTAGCCAATTTTAGTGTTAATTTATATGCTTACATATAATTGATTTTGTTGTTATTGTAATACAACAATTTTCCGTTCAGCAGGTACGGGATAATTAGTTGTAGGTATACCTATACGTTTATACCCGACCTATTTATGTTCTTTTGGGTGACATTATCTTAAATTACGCTGTTCTAAAATGTGCTCATTGCACTTGCATTAATTGTGTATGCATGTTATTAAAGTGACCGAAACTTGTTTATAATATTATAATATCCTGCCTCGCCGGCCCATTCGGAAATCCTAGTCGCACCCCGCACCGCGGTTATACGGAATATCAGCTGCGAAATACATGCGCTGTACACATGCCCGTGAAGTTGGCACACCCTCTTATAGCTATCGACTTCAAACCAATGCCAAAAACCAATATTTTGCAAGTAATTTGCAGCAATTTGCAACGCCAATTTTAAAATTTACAACATCACGCATTTCCCGGAAAATCTGATTCTTTGTTGGGGGTATCAAGTTCACGCAGCACCTTCATTTGAAGCTATCCATTTAAAATGAACGCCTATATTTTGCAACTGATTTAGTACTATACACCAGTACACACATTCGGTGACGCGTTTAGACATTTTAATAATGATAAGGGTTCGAATTTCGTCGACATACAATAATAGTAGTTATTGCCAGTAGTTATACAGTGGTGTAAGTAGCGTAAAAATTTAAAAGGAGCAAAATAATTTATTCACCATAATCAAAACTCTGAGCTTCCTCCTCCGGTTTAAATATATTTCAGATCCTGAGTGTATTAGTTTCATAATAATGTTTATATATTTTTTTCTGTGAACAACTTTTCTTCCAGAAATTTTGCTCCGATTTTTAAATGTAACATCTTTTCGGAAAGTAAATTTTATTGGAGTAGTATATTAGGAGGTTTTTTTTTTTAATTTCCCAGTGGTTGACAAAATAAATAGGAAAAATCTGAAAAATTTACGAAATTTATCTATTATTTTCAAATCGTAAATATTATAGCCTTTCAAATAACTAAACTCATCTCAGAATCGTTTTTCGTTAGCGGTGATTAATCGTTTCGTACAATTATATGTTAAATTCCCCTCTACCTTACCAACTTCTCACTTACAAAAATGGCTCACCCATCGTGCGTAGTATAATCGTTTTTTTTTATTGTACGTATTGTATATGGTATGCTTAATCATTTGTTTTAAGACGAGTCTTAAAACTCATTTTATGGTTTAGACAAATTGCAGGTAATTGGTACAAGGTACTATATTGTTGAATAATATTAAATATCTACAAAAAAGTGTATTAATAAAAAATGCTGCAAGTAGTTTAAAAAAGTAACTAGTAGAAATATTGTTTACATTTATTTTATAATTGGTTAATGTATTGCATTTTTTCATAACTTAAGAAGAATCAAATATTTTTACTGTTAAATTATCAGCGGATTTTTATAGCCCTACTAACCAAACATCGTCAGACTAAATTTTTTTTTTTCGTTAATCAACCATTGCTCACGATGATATATTTTATAGGGTGAGTCACCACGAGTTTACTCGGGTTATATCGTTATAAGCCGGCATAGGATCGGACGTATTTGATATTTTATACCTATTATACCTTTATACCTATTTGGGAGTTTTTGAACACTATAGGTACCCATTTCAATTTTTTTTATACCTATTATTAGTTTACTGTACCTATAACATTTAGAACATATAATATGATAACTGACTGTTCCGGCGTTTGCAAACATTTTAAAATGACAATGCATCGAATATGTAGAACGCTATATTGACACTATGTAAATAATTTATAATACAATACCTATGCACAGTAGAGAGATTATAATATTCGACTATGACACGCGATTGTTACGGACAACCTATTATAATACCTATAGAAACATATGCAAAAAAAAAAATATAATATACTATCCTGAGTATGGATTTTATTTATCAGATTTGTGGTTTTGATATAATGTTATTGCATTTATGCATAATGTGTTATTGGTGAATATTTTCAACTAATATATTTTGAGTATTGAAAAATATTGAGCAATAGGTATTATAACAGAAGTTTTTATGCCAATTATATATTATAAATATTGTAAATTATGAGAAAGTTAATAGGGATCAATTTCAATTTTGTTTTTCTCATTATATAGCAAACGTCAGTTATTTCGTCAACTGTCGATGTCGAAAATTCAATGTCGACCGTAGTTGTTGAAAATTCAAAGTCAACCGTAGGCGTTGAAAATGTACAGCCGGACGAAACCCTTGTAAATCAAATGTGGTCGTATGTAGTTAATTCACAACTCGTAAAATCGATGTTTAATAAAGACGACCCCACCAAATGTATAACTAGTATCTACGACATTACCGTTAAGGATCTTAACGGGAATGATGTTTGCCTAGGTAAATACAAGTAAGTGCACCCCTTGTAGTTATATACATGTGTACGCAATGTCTTTTTGTCCGCAGAAAAATTGATTAATCGTTAATAATTTCCGCCGGAAAAATATATCCAATGTTCATGTTAGCGATTAAAACATTATTTTAATCAAACTGAGTTTAAACAAAAAGTTTAAAATAATTGATTTAACCAATATAAAACAACGGTTGTTTTGAACAGAAAAAAAATATCCTAAAAAGTAAAATTCCATGAATATTAAATTTATTATCAAATTAATAATTACTTTAAAAAATTATATTTTTTTTTTATATTATACCATTTATAATTTATTATTTATTATTAAAAAATAAAAATGATTATTAAATAATAAAAAAATTAAATAATACATTTTCTTATCGAGATAAGTACGATATATGTAAGGAAAAAAAGTAGTGAAAATAATGAAATTAAAAAAACGAGCTGCTACTGGGGACGGATGTGTGCAGGGGGAAGGCAGTTTTTATTTATATATTTTACATAAATTTAATATATAGTTTATAGTTGATTTGAATTGAAAATTTGAATAATGTGCCCCGCCCCTTTAAAAAATGTACGGATCCACCGATGGATGTGCCACTGTTATAGGTGGGAAGTTGGGATTTTTGGATGAATAAATTACGTTTATAAACACAAAATACATTTTTCAATGTATAATGTATATTATATAACTGAACACAATGATAAACCATTGCTAACGAAAAACGATTTAAAGCGAAGTTTGGTTATACATGTTTTGAAAGGCCGTAATGTTTACAATTTTCGTCAAAATTAAACATTAAAATTCTAATACAAAAAAAAAAAAAAATACCACATTAAACATAATTTTACTTTTTAACGCAAAGTGCTTATAACAGACCTTTTGTTGAATTCTGAAGCATTTCTGTTTTGTCAAACAATATTATTCACAGAGTACCTATAAAATAAAAATTACGTAAAAAACTTGCCAGCTTAAAATGTCTATAAATAGCTTAAAGATGGCTCTAATTTTTTGAACATTTTACCGTGTCTAGAAAAAGTAAATATAAGTTTTCTGTTCAAATTTCAAGTTTTTATGAATATTTTAAACCCAATAAAAAAAAAAATTTAAAATAATAAAAATATTATTTTGGTACATTTTCCCTATTTTTTCTACGTTTTGTTTTCGGTTTTGCTTAATTATTAAGAAACTACACAGAAAATCAAAAAATAACTTCTTTATTCAATAACTAAATTTAAAATTCAAGGTCTCTTAATGTTTTTCTATAGGAGCAATATTTCTGGTAAAAATCTTCAGCCGTAAAAATTTAAAATAAAAGAACGCTGTAAATTTATTAATTTTCATTTTTGTTATTTTCTAGTTTTCCCAACTATTACGAAAACTACCTGTATAATACTTGAGGACATCTTTTATAGTACCGTGATTTTTACTTATTGAGCGCACTGTTATTTCAGCCGAAACTTTAAACTTAAGTAACCAGAAATGATGTTTCAATCAAAAAATTACAAGCGACCTTTTTTATTGCATTTCGGATTTAGTTGGTGCATTGAGAAAGTCATTTTTTTAATTTTCTACGTGGTTTTCATAATAATTGGGAAAACCGAAAAACCGGACAAATAATGACAACACCACGGCATTAATAATTACATTATTTTACATGATTTCGATTTTGTTTTTTATCAGAAATCTTGCTCTTTTAAGAAGAGGATCTTCTCTGAAAGAAAATCGAGTCTAGTTGGTGAGTAAAAAAGTTGTTTTTTATGTTCTGTGTAGTTTTCTTAATATTAAGGAAAAACTAAAACAACGTAGGAAATACGTGAAAGCTAAGGGCCTGCATTATTTTCATTATTTTCGATTATAATTCGGTTAAAAAAATCATAGAGACCTATCAGAATATTTATACTTGCCTAACTTTTTGATTTTAAGTGTTTTTGAGCTACTCAATTTATATGATATTCTATGGGGTATTACATGATGTACGTTAATTTCACAACCCTAATAATTATAAGTATTATAGCATAACTAAGTAATGCTTTGGTTTTTAACCATCGTACATATTTTTTTGATTGTAGAGGTCAAGTATTGCTCATTGTAAATTATGCATCAAAATGTCTCCTTACTAGTGAAAACGTGGACAATCTATCGAAACTGGCCCTGGAATATGCACCCCAAGGATTTAAAGTGCTAATATTCCCCAGCAACACTTTCTATGAGGTGAGATATAATTCGAACGATGTTTTATAACACGTATGGCAGCCGTTTATAGGTTTGACTATTGGAAATTCATTCTTGTTTATCAAGAATTGGAAAAATAAACAGGTAACACGATGCTGTGGAGTATGCAGAGGGGGAATTTAAGGGTTATAATGGTTCCATATTAGCTTAAAGTATAAAAAAAATATAAATTAGTAATTTAATATCGAATTGCATATATTTCAGCCAAGTTGTGACGAAAAGCATGATGTATTGATAAGAAATTAATTTTTTTTAGGATCAGAATTTTTAATCACCAATTCCCATAGACGAGTTTTGTAGAGAAGACGATTGTACAATTGTAGTTATTTGCTATATATCCTCCCACTGAAAATTCCTGGGCACGCCACTGACTAGGCGAATGGTTCGCAATGATTAAATGAGACGTCTACGAGAAAGCGATCATGATTTTATTATAATTAACCAAAAATGTTAAGCTCTAAAATATTATACGACATTAGTCATTATCATGGTCGAGAATGTTCACATGCCACGATACAATACATTTCAATATTTATTTCTCGATTTAACAATAAAATTTCTCAATCCACTACCTCAAGAATTTCATACTACTAAGCACGTCTTCTCACTTAGAAGTCTAATTATTTCATTATATTTATACTTTATAAATATCTATTATCCACATGATGGTATTTTATTAAACACGAATCCATGTCCAATAAATGTGTACTATCAGAAACATAGGAGTTCAGTTTATATGTTATATATTTGTATTTGTCCAATGCGATTATATTGCCGAATATGTTTAATAGTTTCTTAGCCAATAATAAACTTGTAAATATTGTAAATTATGATTATTATGTTTTCCTTTCACCCAATAAATATTACATCAACATAATGTTTTATATTTATATACTATGTTTGTGCAGAACATAGGTGGAAATAATGCTGGTATAACATTACAAAAGGAGCATCCTGAATTTGATGTATTTTATCAAGTTGATGTAAATGGTGCTAACACAGACTTGTTGTACGTATATCTCAAAAAGCAATTGCCTGGCAATTCTTGGATTTCATCGTAAGTTATCTGAAGTAGCTTACTTTGTGAACCGTTCATACAATAACGTATAAAGTACATTCATTTTAGAAATCTTTGGTGGAATTTCGTTAAATTCCTGGTGGACAAGTCCGGGAAACCCAATCAACGTTTTGAAACATATGATTCAATTGAAGTAACTAATATAATACAGCGCATAATTAAAAATAACATTTGTATATATGTTTTGTTAAAATTAGTAGCCCACAGTCTGGTTGGCATATCTGTAATTTTATGGGTAATGTAGCTGGGTATATCAGTTACATTACATTTACCCACATTACCCATTACATGGGAGTTATTACCCTGTTATTTTTTCTTTTCATTACCTATTCCCTCAACTATTTTTGTTAAAAGACTGTTGTGTCGGAGTGCATATCCTATCATTCTAGCTTGTCTACTTTTTAACATTTTATTTATTAGACATCTCTTTTCTCCAGCTTTAAGTAATAATTTCTCATTGATTATTTCATGTTCAATCCAACTAAGTTTAGCATATGACTGTTACACCATACTTAATACACAAATATACTTATTTCTCTCATTTTTTTTACTGTCCACGTATCGCTTCCATATGATAAAAATACTCCAGAAAAAAGTTTCCAATAGGATTTTTCTAAGTTTTAGAAAACCTTTAGAAAACATTCATCAATATACATTGATAAAAACAGTTTCTTTTTTATAGAGTGCAAATTTTATTTGTTTAATCCTACTTTTTCTTTCTCATGGACATTGTCAATAGCTTTTTATGTAATATATTTATGTTCATTGTTCTGTTGGTGAGTGTCATTATTAAGGGTTATTTTCTAGGGAAAATATTGCCATTATTCTACATATTATTTGCATAATGTTTTGTAGTGTTCTTCCTGGTATGTGGTTATTGTTATATCATCTATAAAATGAAATATATATATATATTCTCGTTGCATATAATTAAATTAAATTAATTAAATTATAAATCGATAAAGTAAAAATCAATGAAATATATTTTAATTTACAACGTGTGAATAACTTATTCTATTTTTCATTTTAAAATACTTTTTCTAGATCAACAGGAGAAATTATTGTTAGTTTAATTTTCTTGATTTGCTTTTCGATCACTTGTCTCAAAGTTTATGCAGTTTCCAGCATATCTGTTCCCTTCCTAAAACCAAATTTAATCTCTGTAAGTTCTCTGTAACATGTTATTTTCTATAATGTTTTATAATATTTACGATCAACATTTTATATGAACGTGGCTGATATGGCTCAAAGTACTGTACTATTTGATATGTGCTGTTGATTTTTTTGTAGGCATAATTGTACATTTTTTTTTTTATTCTAGTAGTAGCCTATCATTACTCATACCACCTCGTAAAATATATATATTTTGATTTTCTTCCTTCTAGTTTCTCTTATTATGTTATATTGTCATTTACATCTTCATCTCTGTGTCTGGAAAACTCCATGTAACTTTTATAACTTATATTAACTTTTAATAGGTACATCAGTTCATTTTAAGTTCATAATAAATGAATGACCAACAATACATTTATTACTATTACCTACTAGCCGTCCCACAACCGGCGTTGCCTGTGCTTATTTATTATTCTTTTTACCTTTATTTCCGTATTGCTTTGTTTGTATATCAGTATATTGAGCTAAAAAAAAAATAAGTGAAAAATGGGTAGTCCGCGGATTAAAAGTTTTCTAGTGTATCATACATTTTTTTATTCGTGTTACCATAGATACCTAATAGGTACACAACACAGAGATTAAATTATATATCCATTAATAACCCTAAAATTATGAGGACATAATAATGCTGTAGTGTTGTCACTGTACCAAAAAATACAAAGATTCTGAGATGACGTCTTGCGTGTTTTTACTTTTCCCTTATCCACCCTATACAGAGCATACATTTTTGTTTTTTTTTCATCCATGTTACCAAGCCTATCTTATTTCAAACCAATAATAAACCGAAAGAGTGTTAGATAAACTCTTTATATTAAGTTGTTATAGTTATTAGAACATTTTTATTTCTGTTTATTTTTTGTTTTATTTTTTTTTTATTCATTCCATCCGCATTACAATGGTAATTCATAACTATACAAAAATAATTTAATTTTTGTTCCAAAAATACTTAAAAAACCTTTTATACCATATTTCATCTCCTTCAAGTTTAATTTTTGCGATAGAAAGTAGCCTATGTTTTCTTCCAATGCAACATCTATCTCTATACCAAAATTCATAAAAATTCGTTTAGTGTAATTTTTCCGTTTTTACATCCTCACAAACATTCAAATTTATAATATTAAAGTAAGATTTCTAGCCCAACTTTTCATAACATAGATTAAAAAAATATAGTTTGACAGAAATTATTTATTATACACTAACCTAACCGAATTATAATTAAATAAAACTAGTTAAATCCATCATACTCGTAATATTACATATTATTCCGGTGAATGATTACGATACTATAAATAAATAATAATTAATTGTTTTGATTTTTATTGTTAAAGAGCATAAACGAAGCGGTGAAGAAACTCTTGATTCAGAATTAAAATTAAGTAAATTACAAATTTAAACTATTAGGTACCTACCTACCTAAGTGCAAGTATTACATTATTCATCATTAATATTATAGATTCATTGTAATAAAATATTTTACTACGTTTTCTTATTAAAAAACATGTAAAGTACACCTAAAGTACAATAACCTATTTTTATTTTAATAAACTGAAAAAATAATTATTTCCAAATTTATTGGACAATTGTGTAAATCGAATATTAAGTAATGAATTGAATTGACATTATATGTGACTGATTTTAATTGAGACTTGTAAAATAAATAACTTCTACAAGTTAATATATAATAGTGTTTATTTAAAACTTTATGTTCCAATAAAATACCTTTTTTACTTTTTTTAAAGTTATTGAGACCATTTTGCCAAACATATCTTCCTTCATCTATATTGATCTTCTGCTACCTCCCGCTTACTTTAATTCCTATGTTCGAATTTTGAGAATTATTCTTAACGTAATCTTTCAAACGGAAATGGAAAACGGTTACATTTTTGTTCTCGCCAAATCTATTTCTACCCATATTATTGTTTGGGAATCCTTAGTCATGATAATTATGTTACATCGATGCCTACTACTTTGGTGGATGCGGGATTCGGGATTATCCATTTGATATGACTCTTGAGGTATATAAACTAAGAATACAAAACTTCAAACTAATAATTAATAAAGAATATGTACGACATACGTAAATAACGAAATTACGAGTAAATAATTAAAAATACCTAAATACAGAAAGATACAGAAAGATACAGAAATTGGAATAACAAGAACTGAAGATGCTGCGTGTCTATATGATATTGACAGGTCTTGAACGAGATGGTTATGGTGGAATGCGAGAAATAAAGAGAGCGATAATGTATAGCAAGGCGAATATCCGGAATGGTGCATCGGGTTCGCCGTAATGATGGGCGATCTGAATCGATTTTTTTTACGATTCGATTTGGAATACATAACAAAAGTCTTTTAATTTTGTTATAATAATTGCAACTGTATAGTATATAGTGTATACTGTAAAGACGCAAAAAATAAATTATTTTTAGGGAGGGGTCACCTGATATTTTTTTATCCAGTTTTTGTTAAGCTAGAATAATTTTCACCTAATATTTAATGACTCTCTTATTCGTTAATCACTTATTATTTATGCCCCTTTCACAGCGTAAAATTAAAACATAGGTTTTAGCACTGTAAGAGAATATATGAACCACTAATTGCAGAAAGAGGACATGTTCCTAAAACTTAATTTTACAGAAAGCACACAACATTTTCTGGGTAAGATTGAGAAGCATCTAGACGTACATATGAATAAATCACATTATTATCCACACTTTAAAAAATTAATCATCTCGATATTTTCCAAAATTTAACATGAACATTGGCAGCCATTTTCAATTGTTCGATATGTCCCCTATCTGTATTAAACATTAACTTTAGTTGTCGATATTTATCCATAACGGTTGATGGACTAGTCCATCAGTTTTAAATAAACTATGTAACTATTCAAAGTAAATAAATATAAATCTGGTAATAACTCAATTTCGTTAGAAATTGGATATATTCCCTTTCTGCAATTAGTGCTTCATATTAACGATATGATTCATATTCGTATTATACACATAATAATAAAAAACAATATATTTTATACTTAAAACATTACTACTTATAATATATTTTATTAATGTAACGAATTTATTTAAACTGCACTACAGCATTAAAAAAAAAAAAAAATTTAGGAGGGGAGCATGCCCCCAGTGCATCACAATCAATCATTTTATATTCTGAGTAGGGCGAAGAAGCTTATGATTTTACAATTTTTTTTTTTCTGTGAACAACTTTTCTTTTTTGAAAATCTTGCTCCGATTTACAAGTGTAGTACTTTTTCTGAAAGAAAACCGGACTAGGGAGATACTTTAAAAATATCATTGTTTGATTCTCTCAGGAGTTTTCCCAATAAATGGTAAAACCATGGGAAAACCGGGAAAACGTAGGAAAAACGGGAAAATAGGTACAATATTAAACAAATATTAATAAAGAAAATACGAGATATACATTAAATTTCTCCTATTCTACCTTTTAAACTTCTCACCTACAACAGTGGCCTACCCACGTGCGAAGTTGGCCGGTGTTTTTTATTCACAATATGAATTCCATGTTCCATTGTTCATTCGGATTGAATTTTTCCTCGTGTATTATGTAATCCTGTGCGTATAAATTTTTACGTTTCACTTTTCCTTGGAAAATGGCTTCAAAAAATGTATAATGTAGGTATATTTCGAAAAAGGTGAAGGCGGTGGAAATTCCAAGGTTTGCAAATGTTTCGTTAAATCGTCTAGAAACACGACCAATTTAAAGTACCATTTAAAAAGAAAACATTTGTCAATTATTAATAAAATTAATTAAACTACTAAATCCGAGAGTGAGGATATTGACAATCAAGACAATGTTGAAATGAATGAAACGTTTGAAAAATTAGCTGAAAATATTTTTAGTACTGTAAGTTAAAGTTTTAATTCACTATAAATTACGAATGCTCATAGGTATTGTGTTATATTATTTGTTAAATTTTAATACTTTTAGGCTCAAAAATATAAAATATTTATGGACACAATGGTATCAAAACTATCCCAAATTCACGTTCACGAACAATAGTTGTATTAGTTTCAACTCAGTGGATAAATAATTTATAATTAGAAATAAATAAATAAATAAATGGATGCGTTGCCTGCAGGAGTATTAGGATATGTGTATTATACAATCGGTTTCGAATTGAAAATTCATCATCAGGTAAATCTCAAAGTCAAAAAGTAAAACGCGACTGAACATGAAAAAATTATGTCGTTTGACACCACGGTGTAAGTAGAACGGTTCACCAAAAGTACTATTGTATTTGACAACTAGTGGTCTAGCTTAAGGTAATAGGATCTATATTAGATACGTACTTGACGTTAGAACTAGGGCCGCAAGGGACAATGTATAAGGGAGCAAACATAAATATGACGCCCATAATTCAGTATACGCCATTTTTTACAAGTAAATAGCCCAAAAAATGTTATATTATTCTTATAAAATAATTATGTGTTTACCTATCTAGTCCTGTTACGCATCGACAATTATATAACGCGTATTGTATTTTACAATAGATATAAATTCCTTTTTAGATAGCAACTTTATTAATATAATTTCAAACTCATAGTAAATCCATATCTATAAATTTGATTAATTCCCAGTGTAATGAAATTTCGTTTGTTGATTTATTGGCTCATTGCGAATATTATCCTGCAATTTTTCAAATACTTAATGTTTTTATATCATTGCCTCCGACAGCGTGCACAATAGAAAGATCGTTCAGTACATTAAGAACAGTAAAAACGTGGCTTCGGTCGACTACAGTTGAAGATCATTTAAATGGGTTGTGTATGATGAGCTTTCATCGTGAAAGAGTGAACATAAACAAGGATATTTTCATTCAGGATGTCATTAAAATGTTTGGAATAAAACGAAGAAATTTGCAGCTCTTATTTACCGATATTGAATTTAATTAGATTATTTAATTTTCTATTTTTTGCTAGTTAAATATGTATATAAATACAAATATAACATGCATATTTACATTTATATGTGAAAATAACATTAAATCTTACATTTGAAAATTTTTTATTTTGGCCCTCCCTAAAATTGTATCTATGGACACCCATGACCATTGGTAATACGGAAACAGGGTCTACAAAACCACAAAAGCGATCTCTCCCAATAAATACCTAATAATCCTAATATTAGACATCATTACGATTTTAGATATAAGTGACTTCGTAAATTCGTAAACTAAAATAATTAATGTGTATTCAACTGAATATTTTATTTTTATTATATTACAAACGGTATTATCGAATTATTTTTTGCCGCTCTTGACGCCTAGATCATCTGATCCTTTTGCCCCCCCCCCTTGATGCGTCCCTGCTTAGAACAACGTTTCGTTTAAATGCTCAACTAAACTATTAAAATTGTACGATCAAAGTAAAAAAAAAATGATATTGCTTATCGTCATTTACATTGTTAAATAAATACATTCAAAACTATAGTTCACTGGTTTTATTATTCAACGACGTTGTAAAATTCACATAGCTATGGCAGATTTAAACTATTTCCCCAGCCCCTCCAATTACCCCTTGTAGACCTTTTTTTATAATGGTTTTAGAATCTAATTTTGATAAAAATCGTAAATATTATGTCTTTTCAAATCATGTATAATTGAATTGGTTTTCGTTAACAATGGTTTATCGTTGTTACAAAAATAAACGAAATAACCTAGGGGTCTGCTCTTTTTTTTTTACTATTATCATTATATTCTATCAAAGAATATAAAATTATATACCGTAATTTTATATTTCTGTGATCGTATTATATGTGGTACAGATGAGGTAGTTTTACTTGTTTAAATAGAAACGTATTCGAGTGGATAACGGTTTTATTTTGCACTATGTTTACTAAGTTGTTAGGTCATTTAACATGTCACATTTCATCACATTAACAGTTGCGCAAATCTATTAAGTATCTGTATTCAGTCCCTAATGTTCAGCTGCGCGACTATATATTATAAAGTACAATATTATAATACATCATCATTCAGTTATCAGTTGGAGAGTTATTGTTTTTTATAATGGAACTTCAAGAACGTATTATTATATTTTTTGCTGCCACTTTTCTATGGGTAAGTTGACAAAATTATATCAACTTTAATAACCTGTGTTTGTTAAATTAATTACTGTATTATAAATTACAGTATTTACAATAGAGAACAATTATGGTGATTATATGTTCAAAAAAAAATAAAAATAAAAAAATAAAAAAATTAAAAAATAGATAGTTATCTTTCATGTATTTCAACATAAGGAAGTAGATATATTTAATTTAGTTTTTTTTTTTTTTTAAGTTAGGAACAATTTTTCGTCATTTTTTGAATTTGTTTATAATTTTAACAATTGAGCAAAATCGAAAAAAAAATGCTGAAACTACGGGACAATTTACGAAAATAATTTTTTTATTATTTTTAATTAAGTTTTTTTAATGGAATTTAGTATAATATCTTCATAAAGACTTGAAATTTTGATAAAAAACTTACATTTGCTTTTTCTAGACTAGATAAATTTTCAAAACATTTGAGCTATTTTTGAGCTAATTATAGATATTTTAATTAGGCAAGTTTTTTACGTAATTTTTATTTTATAGATACTCTGTGAATAAAATTGTTTTACTAAACAGAATGTTTCAACATTTAACATAAAGGTTCATTAAGTCGTACTTTGTGGTCAAAAAATAAAAAATTGTGCTTAATGTATTAAAATTTTTTTTAGATTCTGAGTGTAGCGAAGAATATATTTGTTTTACTAAGATGTTTATTTTTTTTTATTTTTTTATATTGTGTACAAAAATTCTACCAGAAATCTTGCTCCGGTATATACGCACGACATCATTACTAAAAGGATTTCGGAAGGTCATTTTTTAATTTTCTTAGCAGTTTTCATAATGTCTAGGAAAAACTAGAATAAAACGTAAGAAAAGCGGAAAATTTACGAGAATAATAATTTTATTATTTTTCAATCTCGATATTTGTTGAAATTCAGTTAAAAATATTCGCATCGACTCTATGGATTTGAAATTCGGATAGAAAATGTCTATTTGCCCTTTATAGACGTGATAAATGTTTAAAAAATATAAACCATTTTTGAGTTATTTATAGACATTTTAATTTTGCTTGTTTTGTACGTAATTTTTTATTCGGTAGATGCTCTGAGGTAGAATTGTTAAACTTAATAGAAATGATTGAAAAATTAACAAGAGGTTCATTAGGTCGTAGTTTGTGGTAAAAAAAAAAAATGGAGTTTAATGTAGGTAGTAGTATTTTTTTTTATATAAAAGGATTTTAATATTAAATTTTCACGAAAATCGTTTGAGTAAATAAATACGTGGAACAAATTTTATTTTTTAAATATTTTTCAAATGTCCAAGGAGTTTTACTAGCAAATGTGAAAACCGGAAAAAATGCAGGAAGAACGGGAAAATTGGTTTAATATTAAAGTTTTAAACAAATATTATTACAGAAAATATATAATGCTTATTTAATTATTTTATCATAATATGGCATATATATTACTGTTGACAAAGCATCACTGTCAACTGAACTTCGCTCAGAATCGGTTTTTCGTTAGAAATGGTTTATCATTGCTTACAAATATACGTTAAATTACCTATAGCAGTGGCTACACTCGGCTCCAATATTGTAGGACGTCTTTTTTTTTAAGTTTTAAAATCAAATTTTTACGAAAATCGTAAATATTTACGGCTTTATAAAATTTGTATGATCGAACTTCGCTCCGAATTGTTTTCCGTTAACAATGGTTTATCATTAGTTACAGGTATAAATTAAATAACTTAATGTATCCCACCTTCCCCATTACCCATCTATAACAATGACCACACCCGTTCACAGTATCATCTCTTTTTTTTTTAATTATTCAATTTGTTCAGTAGATCGTTATTGTTAAGAAATAAAATTATTATTAATAGATTATAGTTATGTAAGTTTTAAGTGTAAAATTTAAAATACGATATCGAGAATTTTTGTATTTATCACTCCTTTTTTTGATTTATCACTATTTTCAATGAAAGAGCAATTTTTATCATAAAACGATTTTTCGTAATTATTTATTTTAAAAATACATTAACCGAAAGGTAAATAATAGATACATTTTATACAGTTTTATTTTAAACGGAGCAGGAAATCTATTCTTTTTATATTTAGATAAATATAAGTTTTACTACATGTGTGTATTTTTTTTTTTAAACACATTTTCTTATAAAAAAACTTGCTCCAATTGTAAAATGATAAGAGGCCTTATTTTGTTTGCATTTTGTATTTAGTTGAAGGCAAATATTTGCCACGCCACGGCATTACTAAATTCATTGTTTTTAATTTGTACGCACTATGTTTTTTTTACCAGAGATATTGCTTAATTCAAAAACCGTAAAAAGACCTCATTTGTGGTATTTTGAATCTTGTTGATAAGTAAATAAGACATTATTTTGATATTCCTATTAGTTTCCCTAAAATTGAGTAAAACCGAAAAGATATATAAAAAAACGGACATTTTTAATTAACTAATAATGGTTTCATTATTTTTAATTTTGTTCTTATGATATTATTCATATAAAAATATTCGTAGAAAATGTGTGTTTGTCTTTTCTAGACGTGATTATATGAGGTTAGATTTTTAAGCTATTTGTAGGCATTTTATGTTTGCAACTTTATTATGTGGATATCATTGTTTGACCAAACAGAAATGCTGCTCCATCACGCACGCTCCTGAGTATTGGAATTTCTACTCAAAAACCATACCAACGATTGTTATATCGTTTATACAGATTTGTAAATATAAAATTTTCATTTGTACATTGCGATTTGACAATTGTGAGTGCTGGCGTGACATCACGTAGACACTCACAGTTAAAAATTAATTTTATAAGGGTTGGATAATTACTGCAGCGTGCAGCTTAAACATTATAAATAACATGAGATACGGCTTGAGGAAAGTCTTTTCTGGTTGCTAACCCAACGATTTTTTTTATAGTAAAATCAAAAAAACAATCTATTGGCAACCCGACAAGTCGTATAATAGTCGTATAGGTACCCTATCAAAACGAACGATAGGTACTTAGGCGATTTGTTTGTTTTTATTCTGACATAGGTACTTACGTAGATCAGAGTGATATACACGTCACAGTCACATTTATCTGTCAATATTTTGTTTGTTAGCAAACCGACAGAACCGTCGTCGTTTTACGCAGTATTTAGAAAACGAATAATGTGCGTCAAACATATTATAATACATTAATACCAACGTATAGTTTATTATAACCTGACAAACATTTGGTAACGCGAGAATAATGAGAGTATAGATAACAGTGATGCAATCGGGACGTATTATATAGTTGTGTAATTTATTTCTATTAAAATTTCAGAGGTTTCTTATTTAACATTTAGTAACTTGCTATACCAAAAACTTGTCCAGCAATTTTTTCGAAAATCATACTTCTTCTCTCCCCCCCTCCTACAGGAAATAAATCCTACTTGCTTTAGTATTAGATATACTCCATTTTTCAATAAAATATTATTATTTAGGAATAATATTCTATTTGATTTATTATTTATATCAATACTGATTTTAATTGGGATGGAGTGTCCTGCAGAACAGCCCGAAAAATGCCTACAAAGTAGTCTGGTTCATGAGTAACATGTTAAAAATTGTTGTTTCTTAACGAGAAAAAAAAAGTTTGATTAATATTTTTACAGCAGGAATTTAGGAATAGATTTTTATTTATTGATAGTGATAGCTTATTCAAAATAAGCTTAATCTATTACTAACAGTAATAGTCTCAATACATATATGTGTATAAGTTAAAACAAACCAAAATACCACTAAAATAATAATATTTCGAAATAATCAATACCTAGTATTTTAATATTGTATGATTGATGAGGAAAGGCTTTTAGAAATAGAAAATATTACAAACGTCAATTATTGATATCGAATTCGATTACAAAAATTTACCAGAACTTATCAGAATTTCTTTTATGCAGTTCTATAGTATGAAATGTCGATAGGTACATTACAATGTACCTATACATTTATTATGATTCCGCCATTAATACAAATACAAATCTATATCTATATCCTGTGTAAATATTTTCGTTATCAAACAATTTGTTTTTAAGTAATAATAAAATAAAAATAAAATACTTTTGAACACTTCGGGCCACTCATAAGTCATTTGCCCGGTTTCCAGACAGGCCACTTCACCCTTAGTTAGGGGTTTTGATATTATAGAAATTAATAATATTATTAGTTTCACTATTTATCCTCCATAGTTTCCTATTAAATTTATGACCAACGGAGTTTCATTTGCAGTCTTAGTAACAGTCGTGATATAAGATGCTACTGATTTTAACTATATTCAGTGTTATTTTATTTATATATATATATATATATTACCTACTTACATGTTATAATATAATTTATTTTGTTGTTATGGCAATAATAGTGGTAATACAAACATCCAGAAGTCATATATATATATATCCAGAGGCATATATATAAATATATACTTTTATGCGTACTACACACATCATATCTATCTATAACATATCATAGGTATCTTCAACCCCCCCCCCCTTTAATGGTATCATTTTAGTTTTTGAAACTGAAACTCGCAAATAATTTTAATTTACATTTTTATCAATGTATTATCATACTTAAAACAAAAGAAAAACACTGGATTCTAAATTAATAAAACACCTACAATAAAGACGTAATTTTAGATTTTCTCTAAAGGGATCAAATAAGAATATATTTTTTTAATACATCAACTTAAAATAATTTTAAAAATACATATCTAAAACAATCTACTTATCATAAACACAATTAATATTAATTAATTACACATATGATCAGTTTTGTTTCATTATTTTCATAATATTTACCTTATGTCCTAACCATAGACAATACATAATGTAATACCAATGAATAAAATAATTAACGGTCGATAATTAAAAGTACTTTTAATCTATTCTGTGTCTTTATTATCTTTGAAATATTTGATAACTGTCAACATTTTACGAGTCAACATGTTGTTTATTTAAAATTTTGATGGTAAATTTTTTTTCCGAATAATAATTAAAAGTATAAAAAGTAAGGAACTCAAAGTTTCACGTCACACAGGCTCTATCAGGGCACAGATGCTTGAGGTACTACCTATGCCGCATGGAGCGGCCTCGGACTCAGTGTGCTTCTACTGTCAACATCCGGCAGATATGTCTGTGCTTAGCCATATCTGTATAGTGTGCTTACTCTCTTTAACTGCTTGCACTGCTTGCACCCGGTCAGCAGTCGGGGCGTTTATGGGCAGCAAGAATGTCACTCCTGACGACGTTCAGAATCTTTCCTATGGACCAGCGCATTCCACGCCGATACCAAGATCACGTCAGGTATGGCCAACTCACAGCCGCTTCTGCTCGTGGAACTTAGTCGTTTTTGTCAATGGTAGAGGATATCCTATGCCACGAACAGCAGGACGAGAGAATCAGTGAGACCGAGGCGAGAGCCAACTGGTGACCACACACTGCATGGCCTTCCAGGCAACCAGGCGTTCACTCCGCCGGCCGAGAAAAGCACCACGAACGATTCCCCAGACCAGCGTTTTAACCAGGTCGTAAAAGGATAGGTCCCCACCTAGACTAAGCTTGCGAGGGGATGTTGATAGACGACAGTCCCACATCTCCATAATGTTGATTTATCTAACATGGTATTATTCAGCTTTCTCCCAAGAAGAAGGCGTTAATTATATATACGATAAGCTAATTTATAAGTTATTTAATAAACGATAGCAGCAGTGAGCGAAATATTGTATTAAATAGACCCCTTACTACTGTCAGTTATAGCTGGGGGAAAAAAAGATGTTTTTATGTCAAATACGTACTGAATATTATATATTAAGAAAATGTATATATGGATCAATTTCAATTTTGCTTTTCTCATTATATAGCAAATGTCGTTTTCATCAGTGATCGATGCTGAAGAATTATCGTCGACCGTAACCCTTGAAAATTCAAGGTTAACTGTAGATAATTCTGCTAAAACTACAACCAGTATTTATGACATCACCGTTAAGGATTTGAATGGGAACGACGTTTGCCTAAATAAATACAAGTAAGTGTATCCCAAGGGAGTTATAAATGTAAACGCAATGTCTTTTCGTTCGTAGAAAAATTGATTATTGATTAAGCCATTAATAATTTTCGCCGGAAATTTTGTGGTAATTTAGGGATGTTATATTTTTATCTAGGAGTTTTCCCAATAAATGGAAAAAAATCCGTTCCAGAATCTCTTATTTTTTTGTTGTTATTCGGTTAAAGATAATTAGACCTGATATTTTCACAGAATACTTATATTAGCCTAACTTTTTAATATTAAGTGTTCTTTGATCTGCTCTTTTTGGCATATTAAATTCTGTATAGTACAATAAATCCACAGCACAAATAATTATAAGTATTATAGCATTACTAAAAATTTATTTTTAACCATTGTATATATTTTTTCGTTGTAGAGGTCAAGTATTGCTCATTGTAAATTATGCATCAGCATGTCTCTTTACTAGTGAAAACGTGAACAGTCTATCAGAACTGGCTCTGAAATATGGACCTCAAGGCTTAAAAGTGCTGATATTCCCTAGCAACACTTTCTATGAAGTAAGATAGTTTGTATGATAGAATTTGAACATATGACGGTCGTTTATCGGTTTTAACGATTGGAAAATCATATTTGTTACAAATCATTATATTTATCATATATTAGAAAAAATAAATAAGTAACAAGGTGAATTTGTTAGCGAATATTAAATGAAATCATTACACGGAAACGATCATAATTTTATTATAATGTTATAATATAAGCTCATTAGCCAACAATTTTAAGTTCCAAAATATTATACGACATTAGTCATTATCATGGTCGAGAATGTTCACATGCCACGATACAATACATTTCAATATTTATTTCTCGATTTAACAATAAAATTTCTCAATCCACTACCTCAAGAATTTCATACTACTAAGCACGTCTTCTCACTTAGAAGTCTAATTATTTCATTATATTTATACTTTATAAATATCTATTATCCACATGATGGTATTTTATTAAACACGAATCCATGTCCAATAAATGTGTACTATCAGGAACATAAGGGTTCAGTTTATATGTTATATATTTGTATTTGTCCAATGCGAGTATATTGCCGAATATGTTTAATAGTTTCTTAGCCAATAATAAACTCGTAAATATTGTAAATTATGATTATTATGTTTTCCTTTCACCCAATAAATATTACATCNGCTAACACAGACTTGTTGTACGTATATCTCAAAAAGCAATTGCCTGATAGTGCTTTAGGGACGTCGTAAGTTATCTGAAGTAGTTTACTTTGTGAATCTTTCATATAATAAAGTATACAATACATTCATTTTAGAGCTATTTTGTGGAATTTCGTTAAATTTCTTGTGGACAGTGCTGGGACGCCTTATCAACGTTTTGCTACACATGATACATTTGCGGTAACTAATTTAACTAAAAATAAAATATTAAATAGATTCTATCTAACGCAAATTAAGCATATGTTTAAAGCGCTATATTTCAAACACATGTTTCACTTCCGTATAATTAAAACACTTAAGAAAAAAGTTTTCATTAGGTTTTTTCTAACATTTAGATAAATTTTCAATGATCAAAACAGGCACTTCTTTTTCTAAAATACATATTTGACCTATCCAATACCGCTTTATATTTCTCTTGAGCATAGTCCATCAATTAAGATATTTTTATTCATTGTCCTATTATAATTTATCATTATTTCTTCTACAGACACAAATATATTTTTTTTTTTTTACTGAACTCGTTTTCCATTATTCTATTTAGTACGCATAATATTTTGTAAACTTCTTCATTTAACGTTGGAGATTTTCTTCTTTTAATTATTTCTTATTATTCCCTTACTGCTTGTCTCGTAATATTATTATTTACGTTTTTATCTATGTATGAGTTTTTCCAGGTAACTTGTCCAACCTTTAAGTACAGAAGTAGAAGTTCTTTTTGTTGAAAATAAATATGGTTTTCACTATTCCATAGGCTTTATTCATATTTTATTTTTTTAGCTGTTAATTTTTATCTTCAAATGCCTCCTTCTTTTCCTTGTATTTCATACTGATTCTATTCTGTTGGTCAGGATTAAATACGTACATATAGAATATGATAATAAGCACTTATGCTTACAAAATTAAGTAGGATTGTACATTAATTTTTGAAATGTCGAACAGTTTACTTTCAATACATATTACTATCTTAGTCGAATAACTTGAATTTGTTTATTTGTAATTTATAACAAATTAATACACGACAATATATTTATTATAATTCCTATTTTTGTCCCATCCTCATGTAATAATATTTATAAAAATACAGTTTGTCAACAATTGTTCATCATAAACTTAACCTAACCAAACTATAATAAAATAAATCTTATTAAATTCATCATATTATTTTATATGATATTGATGAATGATTACAGTACTAGAGATAAATAACAATTAATTGTTTTGATTTTTATTGTTAAAGAACATAGAAGAAGCGGTGAAGAAACTCTTGGTTTAGATTAAATTACAGAATTAAACTATGTATTACACTATTCATTATTAATAATAATAATTAATTTTAACTAATCAATAATTTTACTTTGTTTTATTATTTTATAATATATTATACTTCAAAGATAAGGTAATGCATTTAACTGACATGATATGTGACTGATTGTAATTGACTTGTAAAATAAATAATCTTTACAAGTTATTATAATAGTATTTATTTAACAAAAGAACTTTATATTCCTATAAAATACTTTTTATATTTTTTGTAAAGTCATTGAAACCATTTTTCCAAACATATCCATCTTCATCCATATCGATCTTCTGCTACCCCCCTACCTCCCGCTAATTTTAATTCCTATGTTAAAATTCTGAGAAGTTTAAAAAATCCTTCTAAACGAAGTATTCCAAACGAAGTCATGGTTTTATACGTAACACATTTCTTCATGGATTTTTAACTATGCATTTTATAATGATATTTATTATTATTTCCAAACTTCTAATAATTGTTATTTTAGTTTCTCTTTATTGATTAATTTTTATGTGATAAAGGCGACATAGTAAAAAGTTATACCTACACTTTATAGTTTGGATTAGGTACTATAAGTACCACATCACAATTAATTCGCATGTTTCTTAAAATGGTAGGGGGGGGGGAAAGTGAGATGTTTATGTAAAATATGCAAACATTTTTCACTCCCCTTCTAGGGGCTTTTCCAGAACTGCCATTAATATCGAGCAATGCGGATTATGTTTCTAAACCAACATGATGTTTTCAATTTATTGAAAATAAAAGTAAATTACGTCAATATGATAACTAAAAATGTTAGTTTTTATAAAGATCGTTCACTACTTTAAAGTAACCATTTAAAATCAATATTGTACGAGCTAAATTCTAAAAAATTTGTTAGTGTACATGATTTGTAAGGTATCATAATACAGATACCAATTGAATTAAAAAATGGTGTAAGTTACGTGAAAAATCAAAAAAATCAAACATTTTACTACCAAAATATACGCGGTATTAGCCAAACTGGATGTTTTTTACTCAAATATTGTTTTGATTGATTACGATGCAATCGATTTAACTGAAAATTAATTACCTTATAGGATTAGTGATAATGAACTCAGTCTACTTTCAACTTATTCAATTTTTTGCTGTGGTAGGGGCGATATCAGTGGAACTAACACAAATATCAGAGGAAGTGACATTTTAATTGCAGTCAAATATCAGTTATTTATTGTATTACACAACAAATATGTCTATAATATAAACCAGGTGAAGCATAATTATTTAATTCTAATAACGGATCTCTACTGCTCAGGGATGTTTACTGTTTTTCTATAACAATAGGTATTATATTTAATATTACTTAGTAGGTGTAAATTTGTATTAATTATCACTATTATATTAATTATACAATAATACAGTATTGAATTGTTTGCTTTATTGACATTTTACTAATAAGCCTAGTATAATACGAACAAATAATTTCTTTTAAATTTATAATCATCCTTCGAAAATTTAAAGATGAATCTATACAAGTACTTACGATACACATTATATAATATGGCGTGTGTCACAGTCGATGTAACAGTGATAGCACTTTTTTAAATTAGATTTTTAAAAATATGGAAAATAATATTCTTTAAAAATTTAAATGGCAGGTCTTTGACGCACCCGTGAAAAATATCTAACAGTTTCACAATTCTGTAAATGTTTATAAATACCAACTATGTGTATCACTTTGTATCGTTGGCAGTTGATTGAACACGTGACATGAAAGTAAAAGCATCGTAGTAACATTTATTATCTTTAGAAATAATATGTATACCGAAAAACTCATTATCGTAAAACCAATAACCTAGATACTAACATCATTCTAACTTAAAAAATGTATTCCTAAGGTTTATAGCTATGGGTATTTTGGAATTCCTCTAGTCAAACCCGTTGACTTTCCAACAAAAGAAAAACGAATAAAAGTATTTTTTAATATTTTTCGAAAATGCAAATCATCCTTTTCAAATATATGTTATATATTGTTTTAAACTAAAGACGTATAGGAACTTTAATAGATCAAACGAATAGTCTGATACATTTTAAACAGAAACTTATTATACTCATTTTAATAAAATTGCTTCGTCAACAATTTTCGAAACTTTGATTAAACGTTTTAAAGTTTTAATCGAGGTTTTAATACTATACAATAAGCCAATATTTATAAATATAAGGTATTTTTATAACGTGGGCAAAATTCATATAAACTGGTTTATACAATTTGATCTCAAAATCGTGTTTAATAATATGTAAATACTAGTTTCAACGATAATGAATTAACAATTAATCTGACATTTCTCGGTTATCAATAAAACTAATTAATATTAAGAATGTGTACAGTGTACAGCATAATAAGAAAAAAAACCCATCATAGTACTTTTCTTAGTAACAGTAACTTTCACTATGGCAATAAAAAGTCTTAACAACCAAAACGTATTCTTGAATAGTTAGTCGCACCATAGTTACAAATAAAAAAGTTAGGAACAATCAAAATAAATTAATAGAACAAAAAAATCGATAAAACCTTAACAGCATTTCATTGCGGAGAGTTTATAAATGATAATGATAAGGAAAACTGGTCAGCCAACACAGAGCAAAAAAAAGGGGGCAATTTTCGGTTTCGTTCAATTTTTAAAAAAACTGTAAAGAAAATCAAAAAACGAGTTTTGGTCACTAACTAGGTAAAAAATTGAATAAAAAATATCTCTTGATATTTTTCTATTGGAGCAATATTTTTGTAGAGAACATAAGCCATAAAAATTTAAAATAATGAAATCGTAACATCATAAAATTTGTTAGTTATTATTTTATGTTTCTTTCAGGTCTTTCCTTATTACTACAAAAACTAAAAAAAAAAAAATTAAAAACTAATAACTACACGTGAATAAGATTAAAAATTAACAAAAAAAATCTCTTATTGATTATACTTTGGAGGAGCAATATTTACGGTAAAATGTAAAAAACATAAGAAGTAAAAATTTTAAATAATAAAATCTTTGTGCCGTAATTTGAAAAAAAAAATGTAATTTTTTGTTTTTCTCAATTATCATGAAAAATACTTAATATATTAAAAAACGCCTTTCTCAGTCAGTGGCTATATATTTAAAGGAACAAAATCTATCTCTTGTTACTTTTTGATTGGAGCAATAATTCTGGTAGAGATTATCATGTATAAAAATTTAAAATAATCGATAACGCCGCGACGGCAATAAATATTTACCTTTTTAATTATAATTTTCTTTTGAGTTTTTTTTGATTATTTAAAAACACTTCGGAAAATCAAAAAATGACATCTTTAATTAACAATTTGTACAGAGTTTTCATTTAGAAAATGTACTACACGTTGTATATCGGAGCAAGATACCTTTTCGAAAAGTTGTTTACCAGAAAAAAATAATGTCATAGTAAAATTAATAAATCTTCGTTCATATTTAAGTCTAAGATGGAAGACAAATAGTTATGATGGCATTATTGCTCATTTTGTATTTGTTTGTCCCGGTTCATCTGAAAAATACTATTAGTTAGAATGATATTAGATAGTTAGAATTGATGTCCAAAAATTAAATGGCTATAAAAGAAAAATTGATTTTGTTTAAAATACGTTCACACTTAAAAAAGAGAACACGGTTCATAACGAAGTGTGTATTGTAATAAAAGGCTAATAGTGAAAAAAGTTACAAAATAGAAATAAAGTACAAAATGAGTCAAACAATAATATATGAGGAAAAGTGAGTAATGTAAGTTGCAGTCCTGTATTTAACTTCCATGTATACTCAAGAACCTAATTATATCAAAATTTGAAGGACAATCCAAAAGATTTTTAACGTTCGACATAATATTTAAAGAAAACTACTTACGAGTAGTTTCGCGTGTCTATAAGCTTTAATATTATACTAATAAGATTTCAAATATGTAACTATTTTAAAAGAAATCTAAATCACATTAATTTACCAAATTTAATTTATTTAAAATTAGAATTGTATGAATATTTTAATTTACAATTATTTAACAAGTGATATAATTATGAAGTTTCACAATGCTCTAAAAATAAATAATATATCTAGCTGGATAGAGTATAGTCCAGATATTTTGTTTGTATCACTATTTCTATAACTCACTGTGAATATTTAATGAAATAATTATATAAAGGTACCATTTCAAATTTTCTTTCTATTATTAAATTAACTTAATATTAAGTATTGTTAAATTTTTAAACAATCAATATAGATTAATATTCAATTGATCTAAATGTTTAAAGATTAAAACAATTATAAGATTTGAATCAAATTAAAATAAACTTTAAAAAAATAAGTACAGTATTATCTCTAGATTAAATTTGCAAATGTTTGAATTTATTAATAAAAATGATTTATTCAATTGTATAGTAATTATTTTTCGAATGACATTTTTTTTTTTTTTTAATACCTAAACGGAATAACGCCTTTATAACAAATTATTTATGTAAAATGTATTACCTACGTATTAAAAACTATTTGTGGTACCTACTCAATTAAATCATGACGTTACAAATTTTATATTATTATTTAAACTAGTTGATCTACTCATATATGCGTCGTATATGACAAACTTAACACACAAATACATATTTGTTAAATATATTGTGTATACTACAACTAGATATTCATTATATACACTAAAATTGATTAAATATAAAATAATAGTATAGCAGCCATAGACATTGAATTTACATTAAGTATACAGAAACTACTATTTTTTTTTTAAATCGCATATCACATAGTTAAAAGTATAGGTAAATGCAATTCTTATTTACTTACGAAGTAATTTATGTGTTGGAACATTTGTCTGTCAATTAAAGAAACAAGTGTCATATATTGACAAACGTTAACTTGTCGGCATAAACGAATTTACGCAACAGTCATGAACACATAGGATATAACATCACAAAATCACATTTTTATCCAACAATTTCAATGTAAAGTTAAAGCAACACTACCATGGAGATTACAATTAATAAATTATATTTAATTACTGCGTTGTTGGTAAGTTAATGAATTATAAATTATAATATTTACATATTCACTGTTTTTATAGGTATAATAAATAATACTAAACAAGACTCAATAAAACAAATGAAATTAAACCTTGCGTTGTGGCACAATTTTAAAAATTATATGTTATTCATAAAGACATTTTTATTAGGCAAAGAAAAATAATTAAAACCGCTTTAAACTTAAATTGTACAAATAGTTTAAGGAACTATAACATACAAATCAAAATCTATCCACAAATCATTAATTATTATAATAAAAAAATGTTTTTCTTAATAGCTAACATCAAAATTGTTAACCAAATGTGAAGACAACATTGAAAGTTTGCGAAGTATTAATATTAACCATGGACTACCGCCAATATCCGATAACGACGATCAATCAAAACAGTTACATAACTTAAATCACTTAAAAAACATAGAACCAAGTAATCACGAATCAATAACAAATATTCAAACTAACTTACTACAGCCAGGTAGTTTAGGTACACAATTACTAAATAATAATGATCAAAACAACAAAGCTTATTATAAGGATGAAGTAGTTCTTCAAAATAAAGATTCAATTTCTAATTATGAAACCAAATTTCATAAGACACAGGAGATGAATCATGAATTAAATGATGATGTATTAATAACTTCTCATAATCCAGATACATCTACAAAAGTAACGAAAGAAACGATCATAAATAAAACTGAAAATAATAAACTTGGCAACGAAAAAAATCAAAGTCAATCGCAGATGGATACATATAGGTTTAATAGAAACAAAATAAAAATAATTGATATGGATAACCCTGAAATTACTAAATCTCAAACAATATCTCAAATTAATCGTTTGGAAAATAACGAATCTAGCTCTGGAGAAAAACAAAGTCAATCGCAGATGGATACGGATAGGTTTAATAGAAACAAAATAAAAATAATTGATATGGATAACCCTGAAATTACTAAATCTCAAACAATATCTCAAATTAATCGTTTGGAAAAAAAAGAATCTAGTTCCGGAGAAGAATCAAGTCAATTGCAGGTGGATACGGATAGATTTAATAGAAACAGAATAAAAACAATTGATAAGGATAACCCTGAATATTTAAACTCTCGCACTATATCTCAAAATAATCGTCTGGAAAATAAGGCATCTAAAGACAATTCTAGAAAAATACCGTCTGATCTGGACGATAATAATTCTGGATTTAATACAATAAAAACCATCCACACGGAATACACGACAAACAATAATAAAAAGGACAAAATAGGTGACAGTCTAACTGGCTTTAAAATTGATGATTACTTGGATAAAACTATACCAACTAAGGGTACAGATTCAATTGGTCAAGACGTTCATGACATT